ATTATTATTATGCAAACTAATAATACTTTATCCCTTAATATTTTAGCATTTTTAAAGTTAAAAAAATAAAAGATTAAAAAGGCAAACATTTAATGCAAGCTAAAAGAAATACTTACCCTTAATAAATTACTTATCTTTAATAGCATAATTATAAGCATCTTTAATAAAGGTATTTTATATCTTTATTAAAAGGGTTAAAGTAAGAAAATTATGCTTATTAATAATAAGGCTAATAATTATACTTAATAATATATAAAGCAATATATATAAGGAATATATCTTGCTTTTATTTATTAACTTAAGGTAGTATTTAACTTATTAATAGCAGCTTAAATTTAAAAGCCTTCTTATAAGGATTATAATAAGCTAAATTGCTAGCTGCAATAACAAGCTAATAACTTAAAGCATAAACTTTAATATATACCCTTAAATTTATCCCAAGCTAAATTAATAGTCTTTATTAATAGCTTATTTATTAATAATAAGAACCTTAGCTTATAAATTAGCTTTATTATTATACTTATAAATAAGATATAAACTTAATAAGCTTTTAAATAAAATATTAAAAACAATATTATCTATTAATTCTTAATAAAGTACTAAAAAGTAACTTAAAGCGTTTTAGCTTTAAAGATTTATAATATAATTAACGGCTTTAATATAGCTATAATACTAATGGCTACTTTACGCTAAATTATTATATATTTAAATATTACAATAATTCCTTTTATAATATGCATTAACTTATACTTTTTATATAAGTGCTTAGTTAAGCTTAGCATAATAAAAAAAAAGCGCCTTATAATTAATATTATAGCTCTTTAATAGTTATATAAAAAGCATGAAATTTTTAAGATTCGTTGAATTGCTAAGAACTGTAATCCAACTAATGCCTTTATAAAGAATGCCCTTAATAGCACTTTTTAGTGCTTTATAAATATAAATAATATTATAATTAAGATATAGGGCTATATAAATTGCAGCTAAGAAAACAAGGTAACTATTTAAATATAGCAAAAAGTTAAGAAAACTACAATGCATTAAAGCTTAAACTTAAATTGTTAAAGCATGGTTTAACGACTTATTAGTAAATTGCGTTAATATAACCCTAAATATTATTATTATACCATATATTATAAGGTTATTATATTAATATTAGCGCGATTAACTTAAGTATGCGTATTATGTAATTGCAAAGATAAAAGATTGTTAAAGGTTTTTAATAAGGGATAATAAGATAACTTTTCTAACTAAAGGTAATGCATAGCAAAAGTATAAAAATTTAGTTTATATTTATTAATTATTTGTAAATTACCTTATAATGCAATATAGTTAATTAACTTTAAATTATATTCCTTTTAAGGGCAAACCTTATATTTAAGATTTTTATAATAATGTTTATGCATTAAGGGTTTAAGTAATGAAGGTTATTATTATTTTATAAGCACTTAAGTTACCAGCTTATATTTAATGGGCGTCCCTAGTTAGATTTTGCAATTTAATATCTATATATTAAAATTAAAAGTATTGCTATTTATTAACTTAATTAATATTCTTTATCCTATACTCTACTTTCTCTTTATTTAAATACCTTATTTATTAATCTTTATAACTTATTAATCTTTATTTTAACCCATCCTTTAATTATACTCCTTAATTTCTTTATTTAATAAGTAGCATTAAGTATGGTAAAGCTTAGGCTAAGCTAAAATGGGAAATTCTAGTTATTTAAAAATTAAATAATTATATTAGCAGTTTAAAGGTTTAATTTAATTTTTATTTAACCTAGGCGCTATAGGTAATAAAAGCATAAATTTATAAAATGCATTATAAACGAAATATTTATATAATAATTATAACCTTTTAAGCTTTTTAACTTTATATAATTAAAACGTTTTAATGCATATGCATACTTAATTAACCTTTTTTTATTAATTGCATACTTTAATAAATTAATTAACCTTTAACCCCTTAATAACAACCTAAGCCTTCTTATATGCCTGCCTTTTATAATAATATAGCGCAGCGAAATAATAGCGCACTTGCAATTTAACTTATATATGCAATTAATTAATTACCTTTTAACCTTAAGTTTAATTTAACTTAATACCTTTCTTTCTTTTATACTTTTTAAAAGAAATACGCACTTATAAAATAAAGATTATTAATATAAGAATAATAGGTATTATTTATATAGAAGACTATTTAAGATTAGATAGCTTTAACCCGTTAAGATGCTCGGCAAGCAGCAGCCTTGGCGCTGTATATAAAATAGCTAACATAGTTAGGCCTTCTGCCTTCCTTCCTTCCATAGTTAACAACGATCAACCACTACACTAACTAAACATCGTATTGCAATACATGACCCAGCCAACATTAACGCTTAATTAAAATATATTATTATTTATTATTATTTTATTTATAAAGAAATTAAAGAGATATATAATATTTATTACGTTGTATTTAAAGATAATCTTATTAATATTTGCATAAAAGCGTTGCCTTACCCTATTTTTAAAGAGGCTTATAGGAAATTAAGATTAAAATAAGTATAGGGTTTATATTACTAAGAGAGGCATTTAAATAATTAATTAAAAATAATATAAGCAAAATATATAAATATTAAATAATATTTATATAATGATTTTAATATAAATTATAATGAAATATTTAAATTATATTTTTAGCTATTAAAATGAAATATCTTTTATTATTATTAGGATGATAATATTTGCAATAAGGGGTATATTAAAAGGTATGAGGATTATATGCTTATATGCTAGCGCTAGCCTATAAATAGGCTCCTTTTAAGCGTTTAATAGCGGGGAGATTTCTCTCCTCAATACCCAACAATCAACTATCGTTTGCTTAATTGCTTCATCAATGCAGCATGCGGGACTACACCAGGATTGCTCCAAGCACGCAACATGGACCATACAACCTGTGTCCGCATCTCCCCATTCATTCAGACGCCGGTTTAATGTCAAATCTTGAAAATTACGAGAGACAGAAGAGATATGAATTTCCGGGAAGTCTTCAAGAAAGTTTGGGAATTTCAGCAAGCCGTACTAAGGACCAGCCTTCGCGCACTGGCAAGCGAAAAGCTCTTGTGCCGTGAATTCTCAGAATCTACAGTCCCATTCATCCAAGAAAGTTTAGTCCGCCCATATCTGATCATAGCTTGTAGGGCTGGAAAGGCACAAAGGCCATTTTCGGACCTGAATACCACACTCAAATAGCCACAAGGCAGCAGACTCGGTTTGGGCAGCACTTTCTACCTGTTCGATGCTTGTGGATCTGGGTGGAACCCGAGAAAGCATCACCAACAATTCCGTGGACCTTCGCTATTCATATCCACCATCTCAATCTTTCGAATCGTATCAGGATCGTTGGACTTTTGTGTGTGGATGCCTGTACAGATTTGCATCTCTAGAAGTGCTTGAGGAATGGGGATCTCTAAAAATTCGAATACAGCAAGTTTTGTATGCAACGAAACTTCTGTTCTCATTACAGATATAAGATGGCATATAGTGATGAAGAGATTTAGCCACTGAATTTCATGACACATTTCATTCAAATCCCGGTTGAGCCCGTTCTTTTTGGAGTTTTCCTCGTTGTTTTGAATCAGTTTTGGTGATATTTGGTTGCTTACACGGTGTGGTGAAAGGGATGGTAGTTTGGTTGCTTACTCGGTGTGGTGAAAGGCATGGTAGATTGGCTTCAGAACGGGCTCAACCGGGATTTGAACAACCTCGACCGTGGGTCGCTTTGATATATAGTGTAACACTGGGTGGAGAATGACCCGCCATTGGATGACCTCCGGGACAACATCTTGTGGGATGGGTCACTCGCTACGGGATTACCTACCACGGGATAACCTGTCATAGGCAACATGTGGTGGGATAATCTGTCCTGTGTTAGCTTGTCGTGGGATATGGGACACTCTGTCGTGGGATAACCTCCTCTAGTATAACTTGCTCTGGGATACCCTCCTCTGGGACAACCTCCTCTGGGATAACCTCCTCTAGGATACCCTTCTCTGGGATACCCTCCTCTGGGATACCCTCCTCTGGGACAACCTCCTCTAAGATAACCTCCTCTGAGATAAACTGTCGTGGGATACTCTGCTGTGGGGTTATACTGCTGTGGGAATACTCTCTGAGGGATACCTTCTGCGGGATACCTGTTGTGGGGTACCATGTTGTGGGATTCCCAGTTGTAGGATACCCTGCTGTGGGACAACCTGCTGTGGGGTCACGTCATTTGGGATGCTTTGTCATAGGATGACCTGTCGTAGCAGAATCTCTCGTGAACGTTCTCTACCATCATATAACATGTTGCCGGATACCACATCATGTATTAGAATACTTGACATCTCTACTTTACATAACTGTGTAAATAGCCACTGATCGACCGTGCCTACACAGAGCGGTCGCTTGAGAACCAGATACTGCAACGCCCACATGACCCGTGCGTGTTATGATTTTGTCTTTTTGATTCAAACAATAATGTCTCAATTGCTTTCTGGAGAAGCATTATTTCTGGAGCAATGAGCCATAGCCGGCTTTTCTGTGATGTCGCGACGAAGCTCAGGGCCACCCTGGTTCCCTCAAGCCTTCATCAGGATTGGACTTGGCCGCTCATTAATATAAACTGAATCAGAGTGGCCGGTGAGTATATAAATCATTGCGATTTCTGCAAGGTGTGACCTGTTTGGAAGAGAAGTCGGGACCAAGCCATCACATCTTGTGTGCACGCCAGTCTCAGACGGGATAATGGTTGCGCGGGGAACCAGCAGGAAAACGTCAACACCAACACCCAACTCAACAAGACAGCATCGCAGCGCCTCAATTTACTGCATTGACGCTCAATTAATTACTTGCTAAAGAACACGACCGCAAGACTCCAGGCTGACAAAAGATCATCACAAATCAAGCAAAACAAACCACAACCGGTCCGCCGGCCAAACCTCATTCTCCGGTGTGGCCTCCACCACCAACCTAACCATGCTGCATCCCATGCGCAGGCGGCGGCGGAGGCGGGTACTTGTCAGGGCTATACCTCCCGTACCCGGGATGCTGCAGCACCGGCGCGACATTGCCCCTCGCCAGCCTATTCTTGAAGCTGTCGCTATGGCCCATCATGGGCGCGTTGGGACCGCCGGCACTGCTCCCGCCCGCGCTGCTGACCTCGTGCAGCTCGTACTCCTCGGGTGCGGCGCCGTCGGCCCGGTGCTCATGGTCCCGGAAGCTCGGGTTGGACGGCTCCGTCCGCAGGCTCGGCTCGTCACCGCCCAGCGCGACCCCTATGTGGATGGGCTGGTGACCCGACGGCCCGGCGGCCGCAGCTTCTGCGTCGTGCTGGTCCTGCATGGCCTTCTCCTGGGCCGACGACGGGAACCCGTGTCCCTGCGCCGCGAACCCTTGGCCCGGGTCGTGATAGCCCTGGGGCGAGTGGTGGTCGTGGTAGCCCTGAGGCGAAAGGTGGTCGTGGAAACTCGGCCACTGCTGCGCCATGGTGGCGGGCGTGCCGGCGGCGCTGACGGGGCTGTTGTACTGCGACGAGTACGGCGAGAAGTAGCGCCCGTAGCTGGTGTCCGTCGCCGTCGCCGACAGCGGCGAGTCGTCCCACCCGCGCAGCGGCTTCTGGCTGAGCGGCGTCTCGTTCATGTCCGGCCCGCGCTGGATCACGCCGCCACCACCACCGCCGCTGCTGCTGCCTGCTCGCCCTCCTCCTCCTCCTCCGCCGGGATGCGGCCACCCGGCATCCTTCTGCCGCATCTCGAGCTTGCGCAGGTAGGCGCGGCGTCGGCGCCGGCCGTTGCACACGATGCAGAAGCCGGCCACGACGAGGGCGAAGCAGAGCCCGCCGATGGCGACGCCGACTTTGGCGCCCAGAGAGAGCGGGCCCGAGTCGGTGTCACCCGTCCAGCTGCTTGTCGGCGTTGGCGTGCCCTCCGTCAGCAGGGTGTTGGAGAATACGCCGCCCTCGACGGCCACGGTGGCGCCGGGGGCGGGCTTCTGGAGGCAGCCGACCTGGAGCAGGGCCACCATGTTGGCGAGGTAGTTATCGTCACTCGCCCGTAAGCAGTTCTCGCACCCGTTGGTGAGTTCGCTGAAGTCCCAGTGCTGGCAGTAGTCGTATGCTCCGACGTTGGTGCTGAAGTTGCCGAATTGGATGGCATTTTTGAGGACACCACACGCTCGGCTGCAGGCAGTTGTCAGCTCAGGCTTCTTTGTGGCAATGGGAGGACATCACTCACGAAGTAACACACGGGCTGTCGCCGATGTTTTCGTTGCCCGGGTCACCGTACACGCAGTATGAAACCGCGAATCTGGAGTTGTAGAGCATCCATTCTTGGTCCGACTGGTTCAGCTCGGTGCTGTAGTACTTGCTGCTCAGCTCACAGTTCATGCAGTTCCTGAACACGGTGCCGGCAGCGCTGCCGTAGTTGTTCTGGTCGCACTCGATGTCGGACCCGGTCGTCGCGGAGAGGACGTTGCCGCACTGGGTGTCGCACGGCGAATCCGGCGTGACGAGTATAGCAGCCGCGGAGCTGGCGAGCGCCGCGCTCACGGCCAGCCTTGCCAGCGTAGGCCTCATGTTGAGTCGTGTGTGGACTCGCTGTGGTAGCGAGGCTGTGTCCGAATGAGAGAAGTAATCAAGGGGGAATGCGGGGTTCGAATAAGTAAAGGCTGCGAGACACAAAAGCTTGGGTGCCGTTATCGCCACATGGGATTCTTCCGCTGCGGTGCGACCGTGGACATGACGGACGCTTTTTCAGCGTGGATGGTCGGTCACGGTCCAGATCACCGACGCCATGCGCGTCGAGCGATGTTAATAAAGCTTCTGCCGAGCCCCTTGGACCCGGGAAGATGGTGTTGGTTCTCCTGAACGTTGGTGATTGTCAGAGACTTTAGCGCCAGCGTTACAGTTGAATGTTCCGATTCTACGGTGAGTTAAGGTAGAAAGTCGATCTTGGGGTGTGATCTGGTGTGACATCGAGGCAAACTCGGGCGCGCGGTGGGGAGGAGATCAAGGGCCGACCCAAGAGGCACAGATTCCCGCAGTGGATGCCGTCAGCAGGGGGCCCACACTCGGTGGGAATTGCGAGGTGAGCAAAGACGACGTTCCACCGATTGGGTGAGGTATCATCGGCCATCCTGAGCTCTTCAGCTCTGCGAATTACAGGTATGCTCGGATGTTCGTGACCTCGGGCGCGACCTCCCACACCTTCTCCCCCCCACGGGCCACCCAAGACTCGGCCACTCGAGCGCCCCGAACAAGGCCATTGTGCTGTGAAAGCTTGGGTGTGGCACTACGAATTGGCCAGTCAGAGGAACAAGAAGCTCCAATATCACCTGCCGCAATGCGACGCAGATGCAAGGTCCCCTGCACATCTTCACATCCTTTTGGGCCCCTGTTGGAGGGAGCCCGGGCTCCTGGGCCGTGATTGGACATTCTCAACCCTCTTGCCGTCTGCCGCAAGCGCCAGCAATAACCCTGTCCTACCCAAAGAGGTCAAGTTTCTGCGAAAATCCAGATAATCTCGCAGATCTGCGTTCTCTCATTGGGCTGACTCGAATGTTGGTCCTTGCCATCCCAGCCACTTGCAGCGGCCGCCAAATATTGTCCATCATCACCAACGTCTCCTCCGTCTTCTTCTTTGGTTTCCCCCCTGCAAACCATGTTACGACAGGACCCCAACCCCCTGAAAACCAGCCTCGGCACCAGCCGGTTCTGGCACCATACTCCCTAGATCACCATCCTTTCTCCGGCGTGGCATGTTCTCCTTTGTTGTATAGACTCTCGAAGCGCTGTCCACCTTACACTCGTTGGAAGTGACAGTGATTGCAGTACTAGTGAAACGTATGTTCAGGTTGGCGCTCGTGCCGAATCACTGGGATCAGACATGAGCACATCGACCGAGTGACAGGGCCGTTTGATTCGGTATATTTGCCGTACAGGGGAGGCAAGAACGGGCGTTGGCTGCTTCCAAGGCTGGAGGCGCTGGTGATGACCTGACTTGGCGTGTTGATACTGGTTGACTGGCTCAGAAGACTAGAATGCTCCAATTTCTGTCACAAAGACTTCGGCGACAGCATGAAGATCACCAAGTCAGGTATTGAGAGTGGCATCTGCGTGTTGAACCAGGGCAGTGCGATCATCTGGGGCATCCTCTGCCTGTTGGAAGGTAATACAGTCCGGCCGCACTGTCGAAACGGTCCTCAGCCAGAGGCAAGCTGTAGCGAGCCAGAGACTCACAACCCGCTCTCTTCGCAGTGTAAAGAAGATGCTCATGTGGTGCAGGTCCTCATGAGTCCCACTCCCAAGCATTCGCTGCCCCTGCGGCGGTGCAATACCCATCTTAAGCGCGACCGTAGCGCTAACCGCCGCTTGTCGGGCCAGAATCTCATGATCTTGCTCCATTTTCCTCCTTCGCCTTTCTGGATTCATTGCCGTGGGGTTTGCGATCGTAGTCGCTGGTTCGTCCCGAGGTTGGAGTCTCCCAGGAATGATCTAGTGGGAAGCCTTGGCGAACCTGCTGTTGGTGGTTCTGCAGACCAGGGCGAATCGCCAACCCGTGCAAGGAACTGCTCGCCACTGATAGATCGATAATGAAAGCAGTCTCTGAATTCTTTGTGCCTCCTGAATCACGGGATCGAGAGCAAGATGTTGCTACCCGTTGCCATCGTTGTCGCTGCCTGTTGGCTGCCTCTGACGTACTGTTCAACCCTTTGGGCGAGCATGACAGACCTTTTCCCAGGTATGTTAGCGAAAACATTCTTCAGAATTAATTGAAATTGCTCGGTGCACATCCAGATTTGAGCCAAATCTGCCGACCATGGGACAGAAAACTCACCTGTCACATGATATGAACAACAGAATACTGGCTTTTCCGCAACATTTCCAACCCACACCATGGTTACCGCTGGCTGTTTCCACCCATTCTGAATGCCTCGTGGTGGGGCAGGATCGTTTGGAGGCCTTTGACACGCGGCCCGAGACAGGGGACACAGGACTCACGTGGTTCGTCATTAAGGCGGCATGTCTCATCAGGATCCTTTTCGGTCTATGGGGAGCCATTTGGGGAACCACCGCCTGCAGAAGCCGCAGGCACCGATGTATCTTCAGGCGGTGTATCTGATTCCGCGTCTGCATCTGCGCGGCTTATGAGCTTCCCAAGAGGTGGGATGTCGGTGTCGACGACAAGGAGGCTCTCCCGGCCCCTCGGAAGCAAGCCATGAACTCGGCACTCTCCTTGCTTGATGGAGATGACGGTGCTGGTCCCTGCATACACGGTGTCGCCTTCGATACCGCATCTATTGCAGAAGACGAAGACGATTTCATCGTCGTTCTCGGCGCGGATGATGGGCTCCATACGTTGCACCCAGTAAGTCAAAGTCTCCCTGTTACACAGTCAGAATCCGTGAACCTGTTGGGATGCTCCTCTGAAGATATCACGTGAGGACGTCATCGCAGAGCCAAGTTGATGACTTACATATCAGGCTCATCAGGTTTGCTACAAAAGGTCGTTGGGTCATCTCTAGTAAGCCATGCCATGGACAAGATGACCAGGTTTGCTCGGACCTCTAAGACATGGAAGGCAAACTCAAAGGCATGCCATGGGGCTTCGAACTTGTAGGGGTTGATGTCCATGCCTGAGGATTGGGTCAGTGGCGATGCCTCCGCGGCATGGTGGGAGACACTCACAGATGCCCATGGCAGTCTGGCCAAGTCCGGGGATATTCTCCTTGCCGAAGCCGGGGCCTTCCAAGGCCCAAGTCTCGTCGATCATGTACAGGAAGTGCTTCCTGTAGGTGCCTATCATCTCGCCTTCATTGGACACTATGATGGCGGAGTTGTAGTACTCAGGCGAGGTTGGCCACCTATCAGAGACGTCGACCTGCTCCGGGAAACCGACAACGACGTGGCAGTTGTGTTTGAGGGCTCTTGAGCGTGCCCAGAGTGAGCTGATGCCAGTCCCCGCGTACTCCAAGAACGGGGTGATGTGGCTGAGCGAAGTGAAGTTGTACCCTAGGCGGCATCAGTCAGACTTGTGCTCCGTGAGACAGAGCGCCGCGCGAGACTTGTGGGCAAGGGATCGCGAAGCCTACCGCTGAATGCCATTTCCGGGACGACGAGCAGGTCCAGGCTGTCCAGGTCGTCCGGATCAGCTCCGGAGAGGACGGCATCGGCGCGACTCAAGTTGGCATCGACATCGCCGACCTGAGGCGCGAACTGCAAGCACCCAATCCTCATCTTGGAGTTTCGCTTACGTCCTGTGATTTATCAGTCAGGTGCTCCAGCTCGGTTTGGCCGTGTCTTTCGGCGACGGGAGAAGCGATCTCCAGATGGTGGTGGTTCACTCCGTGCAGCGCCGGAGCAATCGAGGAGACAATCGAAGTGGACCTTGGGCTTGCGGGCTCACCTACCTTCGGCAGTGGGCGAGGACGACGCAGAGACAGGAACGACGGAGAGGTTCTCGGGGCCGGGCCTAGCGCGAAGCTTATAGCCGAGGAAGCTAAGGGGTGTCGTGGTTGCCACGGGGAGTCTAGGTTGGGCTGCAAGGGAGCGAGAGTTCAGGCTGTGCAGGCCAGAGTAGCGAGCCCAAAATGGCAGAAGTGCCCTCCGAAGTGCTGCTGAGGTTTTCATGACACGTCAAGTCGTCAGGGTCGTCCCGGTTTCCCAAAATGATTGGGTGCGGTGTAGGGGCGGGAAGGAGCGAGCCTTTGGCAGACCCAGACACACGGACTCCCAAGTGCCGGCAGGGCCCAGATTTATTACGACAGCACTGAGATTCGGGCATGCAGGCTGGAGGCGCACAGTGGCTGCCCGTCTTGTCATCCGCCAGCCAACCGACGCCAACCACTACGCGCCAAGCTGAAATGAAGCTTTTGAAGATGACAACCATTCGCGAGAGCTTCAGGTGTTTTATTTCTTTTTCGTTTTTAGTTGTCTTGTGAAGTAGCCTTGGATGTCACCCAGGACCGGATCCCATGGCCACCTGGAGTTCACGGTGCCCAGCTGGTGTTTTCATCTTGTCATTCACTGTGCTGACACTACCGGATGAGTAATGTCACCGCATCGCCGGCTCCCGATTCGTCTTTCTCATACTCATGCATTTCACGTCTTACCAAATCTTCCTGTCGTCAGGATCAGCTCTGCGTCCTCAAAATGCAGCACTCTGACATTCCATGCGTTTTCTACAGCATCACTAGCAGGCTAGTCAATATCTCGAATGAAGGGCAACACTGTGTCAACTCAGCCCGCACAAATCCAATCTGGATCACCGGTACCTATGATGCAGTACCTGCAAGAGAGCCGTCGACTTCATGGGTTAGGACAGTTAAATTTTCAACACCGATCTGTTGTCCAATTCGGCTACGACCTTCTACCTGCCGTAATAAGAGAAATGAGTGGCACACCTCGCCAATGTCCCCTGTGTTGCACATAGGAACCGTCAACTTGCTGCCAATCCTGTCACAACAACGTCTTAGATCCTCCACTGGGAAGAATTGTGGCGGGGATATCGATCCAATTGACACCTCTGCTTACATAGCAGGCCCCTCTGCCTCACTTCACTCTTCAGTGTCGACCCACGGTTCAGCCTTGTTGCCTCCCGGGTACCCTGGGGGCCGATCCGTGGCATTGAAGGTGTCAATCTGATAGCAGTCGCTGACCGACATGCGCGACGCGTTGGAGTTGAGGACCTGCGATGCCTCATAGCCGAAAAACGCCCAGCCGTCCGACACCTCGTGGGTGACGCGGAAGGTGATGAAACCGCGGTAGTACCACTGGCCGCTGATCTTAAACTGGTCGAAGCTGCCATTGCAGGGTTGCTCGGTCAGGTTGACCTGCGATGCGGGGTGGTCCAAGGATCTCTTGATGGTGAAATTGCAATCCGTGTGTCGATAGAACTGGTCGGGAGTCCCGATGCCCCTGGTGATCCGGAAGTTGTACGTGCAAGAGCCGTCGTTAGGGCAGGAGATGGCGACGTTCTCCAAGCCCTGGTTTGTTCGCTCAGCTCCAGGAGACTTTCTATAGACGCTTATTAGGCGAAAGATAGACTTACCCATTTACCTAAGTATTTCGCCCATGCATTGAGGCTGAATGTGGCCAATGCCAGAAACACGGAGACTCGGAAAATTATCATGATAAATATTTGGGTGATGTGGTCGTTACTTTTGGGGTTTAAAGACGGCCTTGTCGAGCCCCAATGATCAGAGACTCGCTCAGGCTGCTATTTATGCACATTGAAGAGCTCTACGGACTACGACGTTTTCCTACGTCTTCTTGTCAACCAGACGAGGGGACATCGGCATACCCTGCAGGCTCACCGAGCTGCTAAATGCGGCGCTCGTCAGACGTCTGACTGGCAGTATACGATTATACCGATTGTCGATTCAATAGTCGCACTCAGACCCTAAAGCCCATGGACTCGAATAGCAGGTCAACTTTTCGTGAGACTGGGACGTGATCAGTCCGCAGAGCCCAGACACTCGTACTTCCACATGACCCGGGCAAACATTATCATATCCTTTCAAAGACGTGGTCTTTCATGCTTCACGAGATATGGGTTGACCGTGGAGCCGCGGAGGTTCGCTATAGCCCGCTTAAAACATACTGACTGTTTCACGCAAGATCTCCCGAGTGAAGGTCTACGTACATGTCTATAATCTTGCAACACTTTGCAACCTTCCACAAGGCAGAATGGTTATCGTCATCAAGTACGCAATCGGGAGACACTGAACCGATGACATTCCAGAAGGTAACCATGTCCGCTTTCGAGGTCAACTGACCGTTCACCTAATGGCGTTCCAACCACAAGCCAGCCTCCTGCCGAAGACTCTGAGAGGTTCGGCCCTCGCGTAATAAGACCCGCGACGGAGCACGCCAGTACATCCAATCGTCTGGGTTACACCCGCGATTGTTTGTCTCCGAAGCTTCTGCCGATGGTCCGATCGCGTGGGCCGACATCTACCTGTCGCCGGCTCAAGCCTTTTGTTTTCCCTGATCTTATGCCGAGGCATTCAGTCACCGGGCTGGCCCCATACCACATCGCAGTAAGACATTTTCTGTGCCTTTATTGTAAGATTCTGAGCGAATTTGCTTCGCTATCGCCACAGATCATGTCTGGCACCACTTTGGGAGCGACAGCAGAAGAGATAACGATCTGGTACTGGGCTACGGCGTGTCGATCTGCAAAGTCGTTGCGTTTAGATATTTGCAGCCGAGGTTTGGAAATGTTGGTGAACGGTGCAATCCATGGTCTCGCTTTTCTTCAGCATCCTTCAGAAGTATTACGCCAGGCAAAGTTTTGGTCATGTCCTCACATCAAACTCTAACCATCCAGGCAATCGCCCATCCAGGGAAATTTTGCCTTTATCTACGATTCTCCGACAAGCCAATTCTGAAGAGTAAATTCAACATGGCACTCGTTTCTTGATATATTTCTTCTGCGTTAGATATTGAAATGTCCGCTGCCGTAGTTACAGAAGCCCTCTCCAAGAGCTCGTAAACTATCGTTTATGTTGTCTAAATGCTTACACGCAACCAGCAGCAGCATGGCCAACGTGGAAATACAGCGGATGCCCAGAGGGCGAATTCGTGGCACTAGAAGGATCAGAGACATAGCAACTAGCCTCGAATACGTCAATTCAAGTCAAGTAGGCGTTATCTCTCTAAGTAAACAATAGGGCATTCAGAGGGCCCCGGGTCGCTGCAGAAGTAGGCACCCCCAGAGGGCTTGTAGCATTGCATCCATACAGCCACACGCACCTCTTAATCCGCATATTTTCACATGTATGGACCATAAATTGAGCTTGAAAACTGTTCTAGGCTGACATAGATTCAATTACTAGGAGAGTATTTCTCTGAACTTGAAAGCAGACAGTTGTGCCTATATGAAACGCATGTGTAATTTGAGATGTGGCATGCAAAAGCCCATCAAAGCCATAAATCCCATTATTCACAATTTTCTGGAATAGATAAACATTAAATTTGCACAAAACATACGTACAAAAGATCAACACATGCCACTCTTCATATCTGGAGCCATTTTCCTGCTATAAGGGTCGGCCACAGCTAGAAATATACCTAGACAAAATTCGAATGCAGGTCTGGGTACATTGGTAACATCTGAGTCACCACTCGAAAATACTAGGAAGCTTCTCGCTCTACTTTTTGTGCTGGGCCAACGAGATTACGTGGTCATTCTAAGCTAGCCAAGACGGACAAAGGTCATGTTCTCAGGCATAGTCAATATAATTGTTGTCCTCCACAACTAGATTTATGTGTTATGCTCTCAGTACGCCAACAAGCATTACTGCTTCCACTATTACCCCTCCTACTTTTGATCATTTTCCTTCTTGCAGACTCCATGGCCATTAGTCACCTTAGTCCACAAACCAATCCATAAGACAGTCTATCTTCCAGCTAGATGAATCTTCTTCAATGTTCACTGGAGAAAGTGGCAGATAGGTACATTCAATTTTCTTCGAAGTAATTATCTGGTGCTACCTATGCAGAAACTAGACGACAGCACTTAGGCTAGACTAGACTAATCAACGGGGACTGGACTCTCCCTAATATTTGAGACAGCGAGGCATTTACTCTCCATTCTGAGGCTCGTAAGAGCCTGTGCGATTTCGAGGCAGACGGAGATTCTGATGGAGCATGAGTCTCTTAGAAACCGCGAACTGTTACAAAATGCATTCTGCCAGCTAGGTACTCAATCATCTTTGCACTCAGCATGCGCGCATTTTCACTACAACCGCCAATGCACAGGAATCAACCGTCTGCATGTAATCATCACACACATGCATGTTAAGTTTCCGAAATCAGACGGATAACGTTGTCTCTTTGCCGACAATTTCCACCCAATTGGTCGTCAGGTCGCGAGAAAACTCCAGGAGTTCACGGGCGCTATATTTAGCAAATGATAGCGAGGATAAGGCTCTGGGTGTTCACGTGGCGTCCTATGGCGTCCTATATCCGATGTGGGATTGTCTCACTGATCGCCCTCTAATCGAACATGGGACTGCAGAGCCGCATGTTCCGATGTATGCCCCCTGCACATTCAGGCATTCTATGCGCGCACTCCATCAACCACATGCAGCTTGGACCTAGAGCTAGCCGGTTCTAGGCATGCGGAAGAGGGAAAGAACACTGTCTCCTCAAGAAAAGGCAGCCTCTTGTATTTGTGATTCCAGCGAACTGTCTAATCTGAAAGCTTGTCTAGAACAGCTTCATCACGGAAAACTGCTGCATGTCAGATGTGAACGAGACTGGCATGTTGAACTTTTGGAGGCAATGTCCACTCATGATCTGCCACTGCCCCCTCACCTTGAATGGAAATAGGCCAGGATTCTGACTGGCACAGAAAACACATGGCGTGTTGTGGTGGTGTAAGTGCTGGATGTATCTTCATTTTGACTCCAAGCGCAGCCGGACATCAGATATCGTGGCAGCCAGACTTGTACATTTCCCCACCGTGTCCGCATCCCTCCCGCCAAGTTTTGGCACAACGGCCCAGAGCGGTACAGTACCCTTGTGTCCTTGTCCTCGTCCTCCTACCAGAGCTCGACAACGCCATCTCAGAGTGGGGCAGATGCAGGCTCCCGTCGAGTGGGAGCTTCTGGAAGACCGCTCATTGGCTACAATAAGCCCAGCGGCCACACTGACGTGTGAACACATGAGGGGCCGCCGTCAGTTCCCTCCCGTTTCCCCACTCTTAGGTGCCTGGGCCACGGAAGCCTGGCCAGTTGCCTGCTCCCTGGCCGTAGCGGGCAGCGAGGAAGAAACAAGGTTTCCAAGAACAAGGTTGTCACAGCTCGCTCCGGGCTTTCTTCCCAAGCCCTAGTATGTCAAACCCTGTCCGGGATCGTCGCTTATCTGTTTGATTGCGGATCGCAGAATGTATCTTGTACGTTCCTTCGATGAATCTGACACCAACAATAGTAGAGGAGGTGCGCAGAATTGCATTGACAATAGGTCGGGAGGAGACAGAGAACACGCCTAGTACACATAATTCTCTGTGCCACTCTCTCATGTGGGTGGCTGCTGCAATCTTCTCAGCTATTTCCTTCAGGCATTCGATGGAAGACCCAAAGAAATCCCTGATAAACTATATCGAGAAGAATTCGAGCAGTGGTTTGCTCGGACAGGGCGGAACGGCTCGCGCAGGGGCGGGCCTGACGTTCAGGGCTGGCCAGGGTGCGTTTTCCCGCCGGCCAGGACAGGGATGGGTCAGAACGGAGATAAAATCTTGGGACAGGGGACCTTCTTTAATGCAGCGGTATATGTCAGGCCCGGCCCTCTTGGCTAATGCAGTGACAGGCCCGGCCCCATTGCCTCATGTGGAATAGACCCAGGGTTTCGGGTCGGCGAACGCTCTCCACGACACGCCAGCATACCAGTCAGCACCTGTTGCCTCGCCTGCGCGTTGCGGTGCGAATCCTCCTAGAGAGGCTCAGAAGGTACCACAAGCTGTCCTCCTCGGCGCAGGTTTCCAAAAGGAGTAGCGTCCGCTCCCCATCAACACCTACCCCTGCTCTGGCTTGCAGAGCCGTGCTCTCTGCGATGATGCTGGCCTGCTCGTGTTGCCCAGACTCGAACTTCCCTCTCCAATGCTTGTGCCATGCCCGAGGGAGCGGAATAGCGTTCCATGACTTCTCTGCCTGTCTAGGCCTATTTCTATGAATGAATGATTTTCCTATATATACAAGAAAGCACCCCTCTCGTCCGTTCAATATGAATTCGATTTCATGGTCTCTTCTCCTTCAAACAATTTCTACTTCAGACAATTTTACATCTTGAGCCTTGTGTCACAGATTTCCTGTACATCAGACATCACATACGATTCACATATCCACTTCTACATGTCCCACTGGTGGAGGATGTCTCCTGAAATCGACCCCAGAGACATGACAAAGAACAGCGCCCACAGTTCCGCTTCAGCGACGTACGTCAAACATCCTTTTTCACTTATCTCTGGCATTGCCTTGCAATGTGGCTCCTTCTGCAGTCTCAGCTTTCATTACATTGTCTGCCGGCCCAAAGCACACGCTGTCCGGTCACACTCCTTCAGTGTTCACTACCCCGTGAATCATCAGACCTTTCTCAGCCTCTTGTGTGGAAGATGTGCCGTGGTGCCGACTGTTGTCCCCCTCGTTGTGCTGCTCACAGTACTCGCCGGCCGACGAGATTATCTCGAACTTTCTCTTGCTCTCTGGCTCATGGTTTTCCTTAGCGAGTGTCGTTTCAGTGCTGATGTTGGACCGAAAAGCGGGCACAAGTCCGCCGGCAGCTATGCTCCAGACTGTGGAGCCACGCTCCGTGATAATTATAATGACCCGGCCGACTCGAGAATTGCCGCTACCGTGGACACCAGAACAATCGGAACAGCACGAGTTAGTGATGCTGGTTCGGGACCAAACCCGCCTGAAAGAGGCATGACCCAGCACGAGCGTGACGATCTACTCCTTGGCGTGGGGTCTCAGTTCGGCTCCGTGTCCACCTCCCACGTCGGTGGGAGATCAGCTGCTGGCCGTCAGCATCTCCAATAAGGTCAGCTCTACCGCATCCTACGCTGAGTCTTCTTGCGGATCTGCAGCTGAGGTTTAGACAGATCATGTTTCGGGGTGGTTGCAGCCGGGCGTGGGCCAAAGTTGAGGTTGCAGTTGTCAAATCGTGTGGGGCATCGGTACGGTCCGGGGTCAGCGGCGCCGAACTTGACTGGCCTAGGCCTGTCGAGGGATCCCTGTCAGATACCCCGGCTGGCCCGGCCGCCCGGGAAGCTTTCTTAGCGCCGGGATCTGATGGATCAGGTCAACGGGGGTGACGTTCTCGATGTCAACTTCAGAAACATTCACGTGTCGGGTGAATATCATCATTTTCCACCCACCCTGAGTTCATCAACTGCGCCGTGACCTCTACACTGCCAATGACCTTTTGTGCTCGAGCACTGGGATCATGCACATGAGTTGCAATCCCCGGAATTGACCTCGAAAGCTCTTGTGGATGATTTTGCTGCCCGTTCCATCACCACCCACCAAGTTGACGCAACACTATCATGGCCTCACAAGCTATAGTACAAAGTGTGTCTTCCCAGATCTTCGAAGTATCAAAAGCAAAACGCCGCAATCAGGTGGAAAACTACAGCAACAATCGCTCAAAACACCGACCATCGAAACTCATGGACTCATAGGCAGCCATAGCTCGCTCTCCACTGCACACCTTTTCCGCCGATGCATGTACATACCTGTTGTTATTTACTGTCCATCAAAACTCCTCGCTACACAAATAAGAATTTTCTAACATTACAGTGTCCACTCCCTCTCCTCTCAACATCTTGTCCCTCTCTGACCTACCAGACTGCGCTCCTGGACCTCTCCAGCCCAATGCCGATCAGCTCATTCTGAAGAGTCTTCAGGCGGGAGAAATCGCCGCTCCCTGTCGGGTCGGACACAGAAGTGACGATGGTGCCAAAGTCAGGATCCAGCTTCATAGCCTTCGGCGTCGTCGGCTCGAACGGCCTGGACGGCGGCGTCGCGGGTGACCCACCGGCCGAGGTGATCGTGTGTATGGACGCCCCGTCCAGCGTGGGGCACGACGCGTTCGAGTTGAAGCGGCTCATCGTTTTCAGCGGCGCGGGCGCCCTGAAGGTGCTCCTCTCGCCGTGGGCGGACTGGCGCGAGGGTGGTCGGCCGACGCTGGGTTTCTGCGGGAAGGAGGCTTTCCGTGGAAGTTGAGGCATGTCGCCCCTTTGGCTGGGGCGCGATCTTCGCTCCTGGCCTTGACGGGAATTGTTCCTCTGCGTCGCGGAAGGCGGGCTGGCCGGGTTGGTGGCCTGGCTTGGTGTGGGATTGCCTGTGCCTGGGGTCTGGCGCTGGCTGTGGGTGGGGCAGCCTCTGTCATGGAAGATGATCTCGGCAACGATCTCGTCATCTGGGTTGTACGGACTGTTTGGCCCTGTGGAGGCACCAGCTGCCGTGTTGCGGGACACTGCTGATCCCAGTGGCTGACTACGTATGCCTCCATGTCGGTCTTGGGAGACAACACGTCGGCCTGAGTGTGGGACGCTGTGTACGCCTCTATTCTCAGAGCGGGTGGCTCGATCTGCCACCGATGGGCTCGCAGATATGGAGCGGCTGGTGACACGCTGTCTTCCTCGGCTTCCATTTTGAGAGCCGGGTCGGTCAAGCACTTCTCCAACAATCTTGGAGAGCTCGGACCAGACCATCGTCCTTGTTTCATCCGGCTCAATGTATGCGACACGATCACCACTGGGTTGCGTAGCGCTGCCAGATCTCGACCGCGAGTGGCCCGTATCTGCTGTAGTGATGGATCTATTTCTTGACCGAGTACCCGCTCGAGGACATGGCCGGATGGTGCCAGGCTCACCGGTCTTGCGACTAGTGCTCCTATTTCCCACCGGGACTTCTGATTTTGACCGAGCTGTTGTGTCTGAGAAAATACTGGGACTAGCTGTGAGCGGGAGAGTGCCTTGGGAGCCGCTCACTAGTCTGTCGTCGATGAGTTGAGTGGCAAGGTGAGGTCTGCCCGTGCGGCTTGCTGGGCGATCCTTCGGGGTGCGCGGTCTGCCTTGGCGAGGTTCCTGGGAGTGCTCATGATGGTCGTCCATGGCTGACCCGGGCCGGCGAACGAATGCTTCCAAACGGTCAATCATGTCAGAGAGATCTGGCTGTTCTGATTCAGGAGCGTTGCGTGCGATTGGACGACCGGTCCTACTTGCGTTGCGTGATTTCGGTGACGATGGTCGCACGGGGGCCGCGCCGTCTTTACTGCGTCCGCTAGTATTGTTCTGAGTCTGAGCTGGTACGCGATTCTGAGGAATATTCTCGTCAATTGCAGACGAACGGGACTGGTCTCCTTCCGGGGAGAATGCCCGTTCCGGGTGTGGAAGAGTCTTCATCGAATTCCTGTTTTCACCCGGTAACCTGATCAACGAACTCAGAACGGTGGGCGAGACAGGAGGTGGGACTGGATAATTCGCTTCCAGGGGACTTTTGAAGGTTGGCTGAGGTGGCAGCCAGAAGTATTTCTCCGAGATCTGTCCTGAGCATGGGGAGGTTGCTGTAGGATTAGGTTCGACGATGGAGTGATTCTCGCCAAGAATGTTTTGATACCTTTGCGCTGGTTCGTGACGAGGGTATGGTGTTTGGACCTGTTCTTTGGTCGGCATATCCACCCTCGGCCTCTGGGAGAACGGCGTGGGGCTTGGAGCTGTTGGTGTTGCAATTGTTGGGCTCTCCTCTATCGGTGTTGCGTGAGTAGCGGGTGGGAGACGTTGATACAGCGATTCGGGTATCTGAATTGGTGATGGGATCCTGTGCTTTCCTGATCTTCTCGTAGTGTTGGGCGTAGGCACTGAGCTCCTCAACCCATCTGGTGTCGGCACGTTCCTTGTATCCTCGCCAACTCCGGATTTCATATACCTTGGAGCGGTGTGTTGAGCAGGCATCACATTGACCTCTGCGTCGGTGGTCTCTCCATCCGGTCGATGGAGAAGCTTCGCGAATGGAGCGACGTTGGTGTCGACTACTAATAGATCTTTGACGCCGCGCCCTAGGATTCCATACACCCCCACCTCTCCTTGTTTGATGGATAGGACAGCGCTTGTGCCAGCGTAAACAGCATTGCCCTCTGTGCCAGCACGGTTGCAAAACACGACGATAGTCTCTTCGTCGTTCTCTGCCCGTATAAGCGGTTCTAGTCGTTGGACCCAGTACGTCAACGTGTCCATGTCGGGTTCTGCAGGCATACGACTGAACATGCGAGCATCTTCATGGGTCGACCAGGCCATGCTGAGAATGACAAGATTTGCCCGGACATTGAGAATATGAAACGCGAATTCAAAGGCGTGCCACGGTGCTTCGAATCTATACGGACTGTGAAAAATGTCAGAAATCTCTTCGAATTGTTTCTTTTCTGTGACGCTCACTTCAGATCCATACCTGGAGGAAAAACGTATTAGCATCGCTTTCACTAATTCCGTGCCAAGTGACAGTGTTCAAGGACTCACAGATCCCCATTGCAGTCTGCCCCAGTCCAGGGATTTCCCCCTGAAAGAAACCGTCTCTTCCCTCCAAAGCCCAGGTCTCATCAGTCCTGTAAAGGGATGACTTTCGGTAGTTGCCGATGGTGTGGCCATCTTGATCGACGATGATAGCGGAATTGTAATATTCTGGGGATGTCGGCCAGCTCAGAGTCACGTCCACCTTCTCAGGATATCCAACAACAACGGTTGTGTTATATCTTAGCGCAGTCGTACGAGCCCACAAAGAGCTTATGCCGGATCCTGAGGGCTCAAGAAATGGAGCTATCTGGCGGAGGGACTTGAAGTCATAACCTGCTGGGAAGTCAGATGTGCTGTTATAGGCATTGGCCGCGAACACTGGCATTCTGTCGTGCGACAGCCACAGCGTTCTCTTCCGCGAGCGACGTACCGCTGAAGGCCAGCTCTGGCAAAACCAGCAAGTCCAGATCTTCCAGGTCATTCGGGTCCGCTTTGCTCAAAACAGAATCCTGCATGCGGTTCTCGTCAGTGAGTCTGCTTTGAGACTCTTTTCCCAGAAGAAACAGCCCTGAGAACAGAGTCGATGGATTGCTCCAGGAGGGGAAGACCAACTGCGCGATTCAAGTTGTTGTCGACATCTCCGACTTGCGGCGCAAACTGAAGGCAGGCGATCCTCATTTCGTCGTCAGAACTGAGCCAACCTCTTGAGAACGACTCCTTCAAGAAAAGCACGGGAGTCGTCGCCGTGAAAGGTCGACTATATCCCCAGGCGCGCTGGATAGATATGTCCTCGAGGTTGCCGAAGCCAGTTCAGAGAAGACGCCGCGAACCCAACCGCCACTGTCGAGACCATTCGAAGATTATGCAGAGACACAGACAAGAGACTAAAGGGGAAAGAATAACTCGGCAGTGCCCGGATATTAGAGGGAGGCCTAACCGGAGAGAGAAAAATAAACGAGGAAAACCCCAGCGGCTTCACGTGGCAGATGAGTGGTGTGCGCGAGTATGGGGAGGATCCCCAAATCTCATTGCCGGACCCACTTGAGAGCCCCGGTGTAAGTGCTTCCCAAAGAGGTCAAAGACGGTCGTGAGTGGCCAACAGTGTGCAAACATTAAGCGCCGCAGTCCAGCCCACTCCCCAACTTCGCGTATCACATCGATGCGTGACCCTCCTTCACTGGGAAGAGGCAGGGGCCGAGGCTTACGTACTTGCATGTATCACCGCATAGAGTGCAGCTAAATACACAAGCCTCGTTCCTTCAGATCTCCAGTCCACTAGGAAAGCAGCCACAGGCGATGGCTCCGCGCTCGGGGCACACATCACAAAGATGGTCGGTGTTGCTTGAGCATCGTATGGTCGCTCATGATGTCGAGCACAGTTTAGCTCTGAAGCTCTGGGATGCAGAGTGTTGCGGCGTGTTCGGATTCTCCCTCCTTTACGAGGATGCGTGGACAAACTCATGTGCGCGCTCTGCCACAGCTAATCCGCCACATGTGCAGACATGCTCGATTGGTGGTGCCATTCAGAGAGCACAGACGTGGCTGCGTGACCGCATTCCTGCAGGAGCATTCAAGCTTGAGAAGTGCGAAGTCAGGAGAGAGCAAAACAATGATACGGGGTGATCATTTGTCCACAGTGGACAGCTGACCGACGTGGGCACTTTTTAAGCGCCGGCCCCTGCCCCTGCCCCTGCCCCCACCGCCTCTGAATGTTGGAGTAGCTCGGCTGATGCCAGGCTCCCGACGACCGTGGACTTTATGAATATATGGTACAGATCTCATCAATTCCGACAAAATCCCTAGCGGTACGCATTGCAGGTTTCGAAACTTGTGTTTTCTGGGACGACTGATCTCGTTGCCGATCACGGGCTTGGCTTATATCCGACGAAGCCAGGGTCTAACCCGTGGACCGCTCTCATTATAAACAACATGTGGGCTCCCAAGTTTACCTCCAGTGTGCAAGCTAAACTTCTATCAAGCGGCCATATTGAAGTTCTTGAGATTGTAATCGACTACTTACATCGGGAACTCCTGGATGTACATATTCAAAAAGTTGGCGAAAAGAACTGCCACAGCCCTACTTTGACGATCTTGAACAGTCCTGATAACGGGCCAGGAAGAATAGGAAATTTCGGCAGCAACTACTTCAAAGCAATTTCGGTGGATTTATTTGCGTACATAAGCTTTTCGCCACGGTTTCTATGTTGGGAGTAAGTTTCGATCTTCTTTTGCAGAATTGGATAGTTAAATGATCCTTGGGGGGGTCTTGTTTGGGGGGGGGGTGAGGTGGATCTTGGGAAAGTAAAATGTGCAGGTGTCGCAACCAGAGGACAGTCACATCTTCCATCAGTTCTGAATATGTGGTAATAATTGTTATGTCATCTTCGCCAACAATGCTGGCGGAGTAATTGTTTGCGGCAGCTTCCCCGTTCCAGAGAAACTCCAACACCACATTGGCTGCGGTTGTCACTAAGCTGATCTGGACGTTGACGCCCGCAGGGTGGAGAGAGGGAGCGTAAACACCCCCGTCCTCGGCTGATATCTATACAACTTAGCCGGCTCCGAAACTGAAGTGATCGGCCGATTGCTAAACCCGTGATCTCCCGTTTCTGCGATGGGACCAAACACCGAAGTTGCTACCTGTTCCTGGCATTCTGGCGCGCGGTCAGGTCTGCGTCATCTGGCCGTTCACTACAGACCAGTGCCTAGCATTTAAACGTGGCCTTGGCCTGGTTTTGCTTAACAGAGAATGTCGTAATAACAGTGTCGTGATCAGAATACACGGGCAAGTAGAGTCGAAACTCATCCTTCAACTAAGATTCACTGTAATGCCGAAATTAGACTGCTCTGGTTGCTCTTCGTAGATACCGATTACCGGACCTTGTCTGTCAGTTCCCAATAGCCGCGCCTCTGCAATAGTGTAGTCTTTCCAACAGTCTCACCGGGAGTCTTGGGACGACATGGAGGAAAAAGGTGACAAGAAGCTGAGAAGGATACCCGAGAATAAGACATGCTTGAGGTTCTCGGCTGCGCCTGAGCGGGCAGATGAGGCTTGGAAAGTGGCCAGTTGTTCTCTGTGCGGATACTTGAGTGACGGAACATTTCGGGCCCATCATAGGTGTTGATATTATGGACTCGCCGATTGGTCCCAAGGACCAAAGCAACAAAATGCAAGGTCACAGTTGACGGGCAGGAACAATTTTAAGTATGTGTGCACAAAGTGGCTTGGGTGGCGACGCTGTGTCCTGCTGACCCACCGCAATAGCCGCCAGCCTTGCTGCGCAACGAGTCCTCGAGCAATCATGACACCAAGCTGCCAGGTCACGTCTGGCTGGTGCAGTCCTGGTTTCGCGGATGTGAGCTCCGCCAGATGATCGTCATGACCTGTTTCGAACAGATATCACGGCGATCGGCTTATCCCTTCTCAAGACGGCCTCACGGAACGAGACTCTTCGGAGGGGCCACCCGGGCCGAGGAGTCGCGACATCACCTCTAGATCCGGCAGCGTCACCATGCCACACTTGCATGCCAGAGCGTGACTGCTACTCATATGCAGGCGGCCGCACGCGGATGCAGCCACTATCACACCAAGGCGACCACGCCAACCATGCACAGCCAGCAGACGCGAGGATTCTCGCGGCGCCCGCCCTCGCACTCACCCACCACCCATGGCGCGCTGCAAGACACGGACACTAGCAGGCGCCATCGCGGGAAGCAGGAGTGGCTCTCACTGGCCCAAAGAGCCGCGAGGGCTGGAGAAGAAGAAGAGAAAAAGAAGAAGGACCCACAGAGTGCTCCCCACCTTTCGAGATCGAACCAAAGTCCGTGCTCGACAACGAGTGGTCCTCGGCCCCGGAGTGGAAAGCTGTTGGGCGAGGAGGGCAGATGGTCCTTGTCACCAGGACGAAATGTCTGACCTTGTTCAACCCACCTCCTCGCACCCCCAACAGCCCAATCAAAAAGGCCAGAAAGGGTCCGGAAGCACAGCAGCACCTGCCCGATATGTCGGACCCCTGCGGCCCGGTGAGGTCGTTCCGGACTTGGTGGGCAGGGCTCAGGCGCCGTTCTCCACCTTGAGTGGTCGCCCGCGGGAGGAGGGGGCCGTTGGGGCTGTGGAAACAAGATGGCCGTGTCCCAGGCCGGCGTCTGCAGGACCACTCACGTCGCGAGCTCCAGGTTGCTAGCGTCAACCTTTCAGTGAAAGCAAGATCTCGGGCTGGGGTTGTGCGTGTGCGTGTGCGCGTGTGGCAGGGGTGCTTGGGAGCGGGACAAGAGACGAACGAACTATGACCTGCATGCAGTTTTGTTTCTCTCTCCCTCGCCCCCGTTTATCCTGCCCGTCCAATCAGGTCATTCGCCATCTTCTGTTTCGCGCTGGGCCCCGTTAATCGGGTTCCTCGCCATTGGCCCGCCCTATGGATCTGCTGCCACACCAGCGACGACATGCTCGACGGGTGTGGGCCGCCCGCCGCCGCCCATTGGCCCCGCCCGCAAGAGGTTGTTGGCTTGATGACTTTCAATGTTCCCTGCGAAGCTGGACGTACACAGCAGCAGTAGCAGCCAACGCCCGCATGCTCAACAGGCATGCATGGTGTAGTTTTCTCGGGCCAGAGCCGGAAATTATTGATTGTGGACAGAAAAGCTTGCCTCTATCCCCGGAGGGTTGGCTGATTAAACTGCCCAACATGTCCCATCTGCAGGCTCGCGTGCGTGGCGACTCTCGCTTGGGCCCTGGCTGCTGCTCTACCTGAAGTATATGAGTCTTGCGGGCCCCTATGTGGCTTCTCTCAGCCGTCTCGCATCCTCCCTCTGGACCCCTCCCTTCCATATTGCCAAGTCCTGGTCGTGTGAGCCAGAACTGGGTAGCTTCGACCAAGCTCTAAGTGGCTTACATGGGATCTCCTATGGATATGTGTTGGGGGCCATTAGACATCACCACTCTTCCTATACTCCTCCCTCACCAGCTGTCCATGCAATACCTTGAAGCATGGCAGCTTCACTACTCAACAACATGGTGGTCTCATCGTTGCCTCTGAGCCTCTTCCTCTTCCTCCTGTCAAGCACGGCAGCCATCCAAGTGACACCCGGCTCATCGTGTGCATCTGTCTGCCTCGACTCGTCCGATGGCGACCCCATGCGGGCAGCGGCGTCGACGACTAACTCTTCGGACATTGTGTGCAACGATGTTGACTATTTCTCGTCGTCGACCGGGCAAAAGTTCAAGGACTGCATCACTTGCTTGCAGACTAGCAACGCCCTCAGCGGCGAGGAGAGTGATGTCTCATGGTTTCTCTGTAAGCTGTCACGCGCAGCCTGATATCCCACACCGGTGGCTGGTCTCTAACGAGTGGGACCATAAAGACAACCTGCGGTACGCCTCGGCCGTGTGTCTCTACGACTACCCGGGCCACAAGAAGACGGCCACAACGCCATGCGATCTCACCAGCGCCTGTGCCCCACTGCAAGGCACACTCGAGTACGGCAGCCTGGACCCGGAGAACGGAACGGAGTATGGCTACTGCCAGGCCGACGACGGTGTTCTCTACGGGGCGAACGTCGATGATTGCGTGACCTGCCTCCAGTCAAGCTCCTCCACATATCTGGCAAACTGTGAGCCTCCCCAACATTTCCCCTTCTTGACAGGGAGCTGACCGGGAACCAGTTCTTCGCGCCCTTCAAGCCGGGTGCAAAGAACAGCCGCTTCCAGGGGCGGCCCTGAGTATATCCGGCAACATATTCTCCGCCTTCCCCATCAACACCACCGACGCGGGCAACACCACGTCGCCCAGCGCCACAAGCTCCGGCGGTCAAGATAAGCCGGTGCTCACGACGGGCGCCACCGTCGGCATTGCCCTGGGTGCCGCGGCGCTGTTCCTCGGCGCCATCGCTCTGTTCGTGGCGTACTACCTGAGGCAGAAGAAGTGGGAGCGCGAGGACAAGGCCCGGCCGCCGCCGTTCGCCTCGGCCCACCAGTTCTACTACAGCAAGGACCCGGGCAGCGGGAGCCCGGCGTCCATCACCACCTCCAACCACAGCTACGCGCTGCCGCAGTACACGGCCGACTACAAGCCGCAGCAGGTGGGCGCGGCCGCCGTCTCCGTCTCCGTCTCCGACTCCGAGACGCCCGAGCCGCTCCCGTCGGACTACTCCAGCAACGCCGAGTACTACGACCGCCTCGAGGGCAAGACCAGGGGCCGGCCCCTGAGGAATATAAGCCCGCCCATGCAGATAGCCGCGGTCGACAGCAACCACCATGAGCAGGTCGACACGATCGGCCAGCTCCCCACCAATTCGCTGCCAACGCACCCGGCCTACATCCCGCGCAGCAGCAGCAGGAACAGCAACAGAGGCACGCCCCAGCCAGGCGCCAGGCCGAGCCGCAACCCGACTCCGACGTCGGTGCGGTCGAGCACGCAGTCGGCCTCCCTGCGGCCGCAACACAACAGCACCAGCACCACCAACAGCGGCGCCAAGCCCGACTCCTACGCGATCCAGGTCTACCTCAACGCGGCCGAGGACCCAAAGGTCCCCCCGCCGCCGCCCCCGGTCGCGGCGCCGTCGTGGTCATCATCACACCCGCCGCCTCGCGCCGCGCCCGCCTCCAACGCCGAGATCGCGCGGAACATCCAGATCGAGCTGGCCTCCGCACAGCCCACGCCTCCTGCCTCCGCGGCGTCCCTCCCACAGGTGGGCGGGCGTTCTACACCCGCGCCGTCGTTGCAATCTCAGCAGCAGCAGCAGCACATGTCGAGGACGACGTCGCCCGACTACACCGCCGGCGAAGGCTCACCGCTTCCGCCGCCGCCGAGGATCGGGTCGCTCATCCTGCGTCTGTGCCGCGGATCCGCGTGCCGGGCAGCAAGAAGCTGCCGCCACGCCTCGAGGTGCCCGACGGCGCCGGCGCCGACATCTCGGGCCCGCTGGCGTTCCCGGATAGCCGCTTCTCGACACGGCCGCCGCCGCCGCCGCCGGCGCCGGGGCAGGGTCAGGCCCAGCGGCAGGATCGCATCATCACGCAGACAGTAAACCGTGGCGGTCGCTCGGTGGAGATGCCGATCGGCAGCGGCAAGAGCTACCTGTACGGGTGAGACTGGCTTGGCTGTCTAATCTGTGCAGTTCCAATGTGTTTTCTTTGGCTTTTGTCTTTATAGGAAGATTTCGTCTTTTTCCGGCGGTGGGTTCGGCAAGGCGTTCTGGTATTTTGGGTCATGGGACGGACCCCTTGAGCTAGGTGGGATGGTTGTCTTGTTGGGAAGTCGGTCTTTTGCTTGGAAGCTAGGAAAAGTAGGATACGACGGCATGTGCACTGCACAGTCGCAACGCAGGTCGGGGGGCGGGATTCTATTTCAACTCAACAATGTGGTAAAGCAGTCCACAGTCAAGGCTTGATGCCAGAAATAAACAAATAATATTAAATGACCACGATGGCAATGGAAACGCTAATGCTATGTGTTTGATCAACCTAGACGGTGCCCGGAACCTCTCGTCTTCCAGGAGTCGGGAAGTGGGCCCCTGCCCTGCGCGCCGGTGGAGGTGCCCGCCCTCGGATCGTTGCGGATGGCTGTGCCGTACTCACGCTGCATGAAGCGAGGAGTGGTGACTAGGCGTGCGAAAAAGGCAGGGGTGGGGATCCAGTTGGCGCCACCGCCGAATTCTGGCCACAGCCTGGTGAGGAAGTCGTGCAGATGAGCAGCGACGAGCCCGGTCAGCTGCAGGAGCATGACGTGGGGTCCTGCCATAAGGAGGCTGGCGCCCATCATGCAGAGCGGAATGAGCTGAGCGGGAACGGTAAAAAAGAAGAAGCCAGCCTTCTGGCCTCTCTGATCCTGAGTGGCAGTGTAGCACATGGCTAGGATCAAGGCCTGCAGGAAGTAAAGGCTTCCAAGGAAGTATTGCGCGAGCACCTTTTTTGACTTGTTAGCCGTGCACATGGGATTTTGAGGTGAACAATGTAACACGACAGCAAGTGATGACAGTGTTGGAGTAATGTAGGGCGCTCGAAACCACCCGAGTCCACAGGGATCGAGACCCGAGTCATCCATAGAGACATCCCACCATGCCCACACCGCGAACCGGCCCTTAACTAGGTATTGCGAATGACGGACCGGCCGAAGTGCAGGGGTAATCTCCCTCCTTTCCAGGAACCGTGATAGCAGTAGAGGCACTTCACTATCCGGGCAGATATAAGAGGTGTGCAGTTGGGGTATGGGCAGGACAGGGAAGGGCAGGGCAGACGAGGTGTTTGGTGTGGAACCTACAATGATGACTGTGCCGCAGAAGACCAGGTACCACAAGAAGTCCTCCTTCCTGCAAAACTTGGGGTGCGTCGTCTCCAGCTGGCTTGCGTACTGGAAGATGAAGTATGTGTCCATGACGATACCCAGCTGCGGGCTGGTGAGCAGGAAGCTGGTGAAGGGGCGCCATATCTGGGGAGGCAGGCGGAAGAGCTCCAGGTAGTGGAAGTAGATCCAGCTGTAGGGCATGATGCCCATGTGGCAGGCAATCGAGGTTGCTAGGACAGCGGTCGCGAATGTTCTGCGCGTGGTCATGTCAGAGCCTGTCTTGCGGGGCACATGGCTGGTGTTGGGAGAGGGAGTGCTTACCTCGCGATGGCTGGCGCGCGCCAGTAGGCATCCATGATGTCGGCCATGGCTGCAGGCTGGTGTAGAGAGAGACGCGACGAGAACAGAGACGGGAAACTGGAACAGGAACAGGGTGCAGACACGAGTAGAAATAGAAACGGAGAAGAAAAGGCTGCAAAACTGTTTGCGTGGCCCCAGCTGCTCCAGCTAGTAGACTAGGTAACGCAGGAGATCATATAGACAAGCTAGCTGGGTGTGGTGGTGATTGTCGCGGAACTTGTTGTTGTTTGACCTGACGTGAGGTGAGGTGGCCTTTCAACGAGTAGGCCGCAAGCGGATGAGAAGGGAAAAACTGCTGCAGAGCTCCGAGGTCCGTGGCGGGGCGGATAAAGGAGCTTGGGGGAGCTAGGCAGCCAGAGGCCCCACATTGCCGAGACTGTGCACCTCCCGCCCAAACAAGCAGCCGCAGCAAAAATTGTGCTGGGCAGACGGTGCGAGAAGAAAGCTCGGTTTGGATGGCCCTGGGCAGTGAAACCTACCTGCCTTGACTCACCTGGCAAATGCCAAACGGACGGAGTAGACTACCCAGATTTGGTATGTCTCGTACGAAGTTGCTTTGCAGGAAAGGTAGCGAGAGGGAGTCGCAGCGCAAGGCGTTCCTTTGCCCTCAACCCTCTGCCCTCAACCCTCTGCCCACTTGAGGCCCGTGTTCAATGTCCACGTCCACGTCCTTGGTGAGCTCAGGAAGTTCAGGAGGCGCCATGGAAAGGGTCTGTTCAGGTGCAGTCGTACAAGACGCGATACAGCGATGAGTTACCGCAATCCTGCCTCGACAAGATCGGACAGGAAGCTTGGAGCTGGAGAATGAAGGAATGCAATGGCAGAAGGAAGAAGTTGTTTGGATGAAGAGTGTGAGGAAAGAATGCTGCAGACTCCAATTCAGATATGCAAGATATAAAATTTTCTGAGGCTGCACGGGCCAATCGAGGGACCCAATTGACATGGGGAGCTCCCCAAGCCCAAAGCGATTGCGGAGCTGCCTGCTGTTGCTCATAGTTGGGGACTCATACGCGCCGAGACCTGGGACATTTATACATGGTCCTGTCCGGGTCCGGTGGTGAGTCTTGTTCTGATCTGTTGAACAGCATAACAAGAGCCATTGAGCGATTTAATTAATTGCTTCCCATATACACACACGCAGTCTTCAGTACGGCAAGGGAAGAGAGGACATCTAGGTGCGTGTTTCTGCTGGTACCTATGTAATGTACCATTCATCCTCTCCACACAACACCTCTCACCACGAGAGTAAGGTCTCCAGACTAACATGGCCCAACAGTCCTCATGGAGCGCCCAGCCTGGATCGCCAGGCAGCTCGCCTCCAAGATCCAGTCACGGGCCTACGCAACACACGGGCTCGAAATCCCGGCAAAGAAGCTCAAGTATGTGCCCAAGACGGGCACTTTCCCGCTGGGCTTCCGCGTGGCCGCCGTCAACGTCGGCGTCAAGCCCGCCAACACCACCAAGCCTGACCTGGCCCTGATCACCTCCGACGCACCCTGCGCCGCCGCCGCCGTCTTCACCAAGAACAAGTTCCAGGCCGCCCCCGTCACTTTCAGCCGCGACCTGCTCGCCCGCACCGGCAACCGCGTCCGCAACGTCGTCATCAACTCGGGCTGCGCAAATGCCGTCACTGGAAAGGGCGGCCTCGAGGATGCTGCCGCCATGTCCCGCCACACCGACCAAGTCACCGGTGCCTCCGACTCCACCATTGTCATGAGCACCGGTGTCATCGGGCAGAGGTATGCGTCCTGTCCGGACACGCATCCCCCAAGATGCCAGCTGACCTCCCGCAGGCTCCCCATAGACAAGATCACAGGCGGCATCCCAAAGTCCCACGCCGCCCTGGGCTCCACCTTTGACCACTGGCTGACCACCGCCATCGCCATCTGCACCACCGACACCTTCCCCAAGCTCATCTCGCGCGAGTTCACCCTGCCCTCTGACCCATCCAGGACCTACCGCATCGCCGGCATGACCAAGGGCGCCGGCATGATCCACCCCAACATGGCCACCCTGCTGGGCATCATAGCCACCGACGCCCCCGTCTCGCCCTCCCTGACCCCGTCCCTGCTCCGCTCCGCCGTCGACTCTTCCTTCAACTCCATCACCATCGACGGCGACACCTCCACCAACGACACCGTCGCCCTGCTAGCCAACGGCGCCGCCGGCGGCCGCGAGGTCGCCGATGACAAAGGGGCCGATTACGCTGCCCTCGCGGGCGCGGTCCGCGACCTAGCCACCGACCTCGCCCAGCTCGTCGTCCGCGACGGCGAGGGCGCCACCAAGTTCGTCACCGTGCAGGTCACCGAGTCCCGCTCCGAGGCCGCCGCCCGCAAGGTCGCCAGCACCATCGCCCGCTCGCCCCTGGTCAAGACGGCCCTGTACGGCCGCGACGCCAACTGGGGCCGCATCTTGTGCGCCACCGGCTACTCGCTGCTGTCGGAGCCCGGGTCCGCCTCGGCCGCCGCCGACGAGGCTGCCGACGCGGTCGTCGTCCCCGAGAAGACCAACGTTTCCTTCATCCCCACCGACGGGTCCGCCGAGCTGAGGCTGCTCGTCAACGGCGAGCCTGAGGCTGTTGACGAGGCCCGCGCCTCCGAGATCCTTCAGGCTGAGGACCTGCACATCCTTGTCAGGCTGGGCACCGGGGACAAGGAGGCTAAGTACTGGACTTGTGACTACAGCCATGAGTATATGTGAGTCTCTTTTTCGTTTTCTTTTTCATTTTCACATCAGACGAGTGGCGTTTGCTCAGTTGCTGACCATCTTTTTCCACAGCACGATCAACGGTGACTATCGTACATAGAGATTCACCCAGTCCGCCTGGGTACGGATGAAAGCGATGTGCTTGTTTGAGATGAGAAGTTTAGAGATACCATGAGTGCTTGGTAACAGATATTGTGAATGGTAGTATTTGAAACTAAACCGTTCCGCTTATGAATCCTCAACGTTAGATGTGAATGCAGACTCATGGGTTGCTGACGCCAGGTGTGTGGCTCAACAGTGAGGATCGACCAAAGAGGAATCGCGGCACGGCCTTCCATGAACGGGAGTGCTATCAGGGGGCGGTGCGCCGTCAGTAAATCTGCAGGTGCTGAAGTCTGCTTGAAATGTAAGTCCCAACTGTTCTGGTTCGGCAGGCACACGGATTATAATACAACAAAAGTGGGTACCAGTCGGACGCGTCGTGTAACGGTAACACTTCTGTCTCACTATAGCAACAGAATCGCTGGGTCGACTCCAGCCGCGCCCAATTTTCCTTTTTTTTTCAACCAGGAAGTATTTCCCTTCATTTGTAATTTTTTAACTTTTTTTTTTTTTTTTCATAAATTTTCTTTTTTTTTTTTTTGTTTTTCAAATTTAAATTTTGTTTTTAAAAAAAATTTTTTACGTTTTGTTCATTAGGCACATCCTAAGTATTTCAAACAATAAAAACAAGGCTCTCTGCTCTGTTTGATAACTATTGAGAAAGATGGTAGGGTTAAGCTGCATTGGCTGAGGGCTGGCAGTTGGCTTCTGCGGCAAGCAGGGCGCGGGAGGCTACATGTAACTGCAGGACCCTGAGCTCTTGTCAATCAAGTAGGACCGGTGGGGTCTGAAGGTCCGAGAAAAGTATTTTTCAAAAAGAAAACTTTAAAAACATACAACACCGGGTATTCGCTGGTCGTCACCGACCCAACTACTAATCCAGCCCTCAGCGGCTTGACTATGGGAGAGCGGACGGGATCCCGTATTTTCCGCTGGGTATGGTCGTATGTGACAAAGTTTGTGAAACTGGTGGTTATGAAGGGAACAATTTCAGGAGCTTGCAGTGCATCTGCGGGTGCTCCAGGGAGTCACACTCAAGTATTGAAAAGACCCACCGACCACCAAGTGTCGCATTCAATTTAGTTACGACGTCAATCGAACGGAATTCCTTGATAAATTTCTCTTGGGCACTACAACCCCCTCTTTCATGAGGCCGTTTCCGCCTGGCCTCCTATGTCCGCAGAATCCATCGTGTCTCTTGTCGCGTCCGCATCATCAGCCTCTTCAATAGTCAACTGACCGCTCACGTTCATTATAGCTGTTTGGGCATTATGTCCCCAGGACCCGTCCGATGCGGAGGTCGTCGTCGACGTCGAGCTACGACCACTCAAGGGGACCGCGCTGTCCGAATGCAAAGATGCCCCGGTCGGAGAGGAAGGGTCTGCCGCAACGAGTCTTGGTTCTACAGTCTTGGTATTCCCCTTCGGTGCCTCAGGCCTGCGAAGAACCGGGTGTTCTGGATTCGAGATGTCAAGATTCGCTAAGGAGAGTTCCGGGTCTGTAGTTGGGATGTCATCGGCGCAGTTGGCCCATTTCTGCCCCATGAGCTGTTCGTGTGCCATACGGTGTAGCTGTAGGCTGTTGTTGCTGATCCATTCCAGGTGGGCGTATGACTTGTGCTGTCGGCGCTTATGAAGGCGGTTGAGGATCGGCTCTAGGATGTAGGACGTGATGATGATGAGAACGCCCGTGGTGAAGGTGAAGTAAAGGCCGAAGCAGCTGAAAGATGTGTGCGTCGAGCTTCGAATCTTCTACAGTTTGTATTAGGATGTTCAATCTGACTCATGGTGGGGAGGTGTGGGTAGGATTCGCTTCTAACCTGACTATTGCAAATGTTCTGTTCCTGATCGTTGAGCGGCGGCGATCGATACTGGAAAAATTCTGGGTCGGTCGGGCCCTGTGCAGTATCAACAACTGGCGAGAGTAAGCCTACTATCATTGAGTATGACATGACTGCGGCCTGCTATTGATGTTGAAGTCCGCAGACATGCCAGGATATTTAACTCACTAATGAGAGCTTAGCCATACGATCATGTAAAATCTTCGACCGAGAACACCCAATTCCCAGAACAGAGCACAATACGTACTCGTTGTGAGAAGAAGAAAAAAAAGACTAACCGTGATGCCTGTACTGCAGCCAAAATGATGTGCCACCATTGAAGTACATCTAACTGCCATTGATTCTCCGGAAGTGGCGACTGAACGCCACTGAAAAGGGTAGATTGAGATGCGAGCGACCTTGTTCCGAGAGAGCCCATTAGGGCTGGAAGAGTGGTAGGGTAACCAGTCATGGCCAGCCAAGGCCATACGAGGCGAGCAGAAGTTGCATCAGATGACATTGGCCGAACTGTGGCTAAGTCTTCGTGTGTCAAGTTGAAGAATGGCGCAGCGCCAGAGAGAGAATCAGAGAGGCTTGCCAACGGTCCACAGCCACGGTCTCTTGGGTATGCTGAGTTACACCACTGGAATTGCTCAACGCATCCCATCGGCGATGCTGAAACATCTGGGCGCCAGGTTGGCAGGCGCCCAGAGACTGCTGGCCAGTAGATGGTGCGCCATGGCGTGGTCGCGCGATACCAGTCATCATCCATCCGTTGAATAAATCGGACTCCAGCTCCAGATAGAAAGACAATTGTCAAGTCTCCATCCTGCCGCACGAGCTCGGATATCGGACTCCAAGTAAGTGATTCTCCTTGAAACATGTAAATAGTTTCGTAGCTTCGAGACAGTTAGAACCACGGTCTTGCGAGACTCCTCGACACAGTACACTTACCTCAGCTTGGAGTTGATCCCGGCCAGGGTGGTTCCATTTGGTAAACGATACTGGTTGTCCAAGTCCTCGATCTCGTACACGTAATCTATTAAACCGGTCCGGTTGTCAGACGGTCCGACGGGGAGATTTCCATAATGATACCTGTCCCAGCCTCTGCCATCCTCTACGACGTGGCTTATGTAGCTGTCAGTCCCAAGTGGAGCGCAATGCAGTACATATCTGTACGCAAAACTTTCATCCTTGGGGAAGTTCAGTCCCAGGTCATCATGACTATCAATGTAGCCCGAGTCTAACCTTAGCGCGGATTGAGGGTTGCGGCATATCTGATGCTGGAAAGGGCACTCGGCGGTGACGTTCACTATACGTGTTGGCAGACTGCTGCGAACAAACTTATTGCAAGCTGTTGTCGTGTTGGACTGGTTGGTGCGGTAGCATTGTTGGACGTAATTCGCTGCGCTGTTTGACAGCTCCGAACGCCACCGAGAATTTACTGACTGGCCTTCGGCCGTATAGTTGTTCGTTACCGTGCTTATGCCGCAGTTTTGGCCGTTGATTAGGACCTCGTCGCCGATTGAAGTCGAGATATTTGCCGAGAAACCTCCCCGCAGCTGTGAAAGCCGCAAGGTAACAGGCGCTGAATATGAGCAAGGGTATGAGGCCGGCGATGCGTTGAATCCCCGATTTGCGCCATGCCCAAAGTAAAGCCAGAATTTCAAACAACGCCGACACTGCAGCGCTCGAGTTGCGGAGCATGACTTGACGCTGGTGGTGTATGGCACTTCTGTCTGTGGCCGTCGAGTAACATCGATGAAAAACGAGGCAGCAGATCCTCCAGAGCCTGGAAGCGACAAACGTGACAAAAAGAGCCGTAAAGGCAATAAGAATATTGCCGTATTGTTTGGTTATGGTGAGAGTTGGCCCCAAAATGGTGCCACGAGACCAGTTCGTCCAAATCCCTATATAAATGTCGTTATCCATGGCAGCTTGGGTGGTTGCCGAACGAAAGGAAAAGCACAATTGAATTGGAATCTATATGAGTTTGCCCCGAATCGAACAGATGAAATAACCTGAAAAAGTGAAAGAAAAACGCTGCCATTTTAAACTTTATACGATTCGCATCCACGCAACCATTGTGAATCTGCCTCGGGGGCTCAATCCTACCAGCCCGCAGAATGAGGCCCTTAAGACAGCGCCGTGCACCGCTACGCTATGGCAACGGAAACACCGAAAGGTCAGAACTGTCCAGAACGCTCTGGAAAATGCAGTGTAGCCTATATAGCTGTGCCGTCACACCCCCAACCCCTCCCCGAATTCGTTGACCGACACCGAAGAGTCGCATGAAAGCTACTGAATATGTGTATCACGACATGCGCAGCTAAATGACCGAGTGGCCCAGTCGTCGAGTAGGACTTTGTAAATCAAGTAGTCTTATCTTCCTGACGTCGTTGACCAATATGCCGTTGTGTGGTAATCAGCCCGAGTCGGCTTAGACCACCTAGGCAGATTCTCAGATCGACACACAGGTTTGCAAATCTGCCTTGTCACAGTGCTTCTCGGTGGGCGGGTGCAGCACTCTATACGTACTTGCGCAAATGATCGGGCCCTGCTTGAAAATAGAAATTGAATAGATGGAGGTGTACAATCCGAGCGGAAAGGGGGGGCCTAAATATTCAACCATGACCTGACAGCTTAGTATGTTTTCCTGCAAGATAATGTGCTACAAAATAGCCTACTATATAATAACCTCTTCCAAGGCAATGGCTTTATATACTGCCCAGGGCTCCAAGACCTGAGCTGATCTTGCATAGCAGGCTCACGATGCATCAGTGCATGCTTGACTTTTGCACGTAGTCTACACTATTTGCATGTTTCCACCATGTATAGCTATTGAGACTAGTGAAACCTTTATAAATATAAGCCATGTACATGCATTTCAAATACATCTTTGCATTTCAAATACACACATTGAGGGCCTTCAGAAACTGAGAGACACCGATTTCCCTTTAGCTGAGATCAAGCTGCCGGCATGTCAGGGTTAGACCGCTACTGACTCGGAAGGGGGGGGGGCTACCTTGCGCCCCCCTAGCCCTCACCTCCTTCCCCTCGCAGGATTGTGTAAGACCATTGGTTGAAACGAAAATAGGCCACCGGAGAAACCTGCCTGTGGAAGAAAGACGGCTATCTAACGTCCACGCATAACATCACTGTCAGCGGGGGCACCAGCATCGACTATATGCACGACAAGGGCATCTTCTCGATCATGTCCGATCCAAGCAACCGGTGTGCCCATCGAGTCGCGGCCATCTATCTCCCCGGGCACTTCTCTAGTTCCGGAGGAGGAAAGGGCATGGAGGGCCGGAGGCAGAGGGAAAAACACATGAGGAGTGACCTAATGGGATTCATTTTTTTCCCCCCAGCGTGAATGGCCAGATGGACAATAACATCGAAACAGGGCCGGGAGGCCTACTTCAAAGCAACGCGAGACGAGATGCATTGTGTGCCTTGCGGTGTGCAACCCGACTGTCAGCACCGCCCGCCGCCCCACAGCAAAGTTGGCACATCGGGACTTCATGCGGCAGCGACTGGGAGCACGAACAAGTCTTCGGCTATCTATAACATGCAATGATAATTTCATTTCTCACTCATCAGGAAGAAGAAGAATAGAAGACAAGTCACATTTCTTTGTCATGTTCGATATAGTACTCGGGTATCTACGCCCAGAAATCATCACACAGAGACACAGAGAGAACGAGAAAGAAGAGAAAACGCCCATAACAGTTGAACCTGCCCAATGCTCGCTTGACTTGATTTGACTCGACTCAGCTTGCTGATGTGTGACTTGATGCGATGCGTTGCGCGGCCCCGTGCCTGCTCTGAAACTTTGCCTGACCACCCTTTTCCTGCCCTGAACACTCCTTGACCGAAAAAAACGCCTGGCTGGATGCAAGAAGAGAGCCGATTTCCGTGAACCCTCATGTGTATAAATGTAAAGAAAAACACTGCCCTGATATGCCGCCGCGGTAGTCCTTATCTCCCCTTCCTATTCAGTCCCAGTCGTCGAGCGCAATGATGTCTTGCTGCTGACCCGGTTTCCCTTTCCCTTGTTGTTCCTAGCTTCCCAGCTTGAGATCCGTCGAGATTTTCAGCCTCGCCGCCGTTGGTCACACTCTAAGCGCCAAAGGCTTGCTGACCTTGGGACAATTGCTTGTTCTGCTCGCGATACCATTCCGTTTCGTTGTCCAACTCGGCAGCAACCCTCTTCAGCTCCCGCAGGCTCTCCTCGGCGTCTTGTTGTAGGGTACTGACGGCACTACCTGCCTGAGACACAGCGTCGCCATCTGTCTGCCGGGAAGCAAGCAGCGATGCCGAAGACATGCCCGCGGGAAGTGATTGTCGTGCCATCGATGGCTTCGGTTTCAGGAAACTTTGTCGCGGCGGCGATCCCGCTGCTGATTGCGGGACGCTGAAGGTGCTGCGGCGGGACCCCGTCAACCCCAAGCTTGCACGGTAGGCCCCATCCTGTTCCAAAACGCGGTCATCCAGGTCACCGGCGTCCGAGTCTCCGGAGTACTGGGAGCCGCCTTCATGGTTGTTACTCATTACTGGACGAGGAGCCTTATCGGACAGGACATGCCCAGTTGGCGTTGCGAAGAGTCCTCGACTTCGGAGTAGCCAGTAGGACGATTTGATGCCGCTGCCTGGCCCATTCCTCGGTCGCTCAGGCTCGGCTGATGAGCGAGGCGATGAGGACTGGTACCGAGAGAAGTTTGTAACCTTGCCACCCGTGGGGACCGATCTTGCCATACGCGAAGAATTGCTGCTCCTGAAGCTGATTAGGTCGTCCTCGCGGTGCTTGCCGCTCATCAAGTCTTGGAGGTATTGGGCCTTTTTGCTGAGTTTCGGTTTAGGTGCGGGCTTGGCCACGGCAGCGTTGCGGACAGACCGAAGAGGGTCCTTGGGCCTGGCTGGAGGGCCCATACTTTGCTGGCTGGGGTTCGGGTGTATGGTCACGCCCACCAGCGCGTCGTACAGGGAATCGTCGTCCCGGACGCAGTTGGCAGCCAACTCTTGCTGATTCTCCATGCCCGAAAATATGCCGGTAGCAAGCAAGGCGTCTGCACTGCTTGAGGTGATACTGGCTCTTCTCGAGGTATCAAGCGACATGCTTTCTCGCCTAGCCCTCTTCAAAGCTCGATCCTTCTCCAGTTCGTCTAGCCAAGACGACGGGCCGGTGAGCCGCTTCGTACGGGACTTCTCGTCCTTCTCCGCCTTCGCCTTCGCTGCCTTTGCTTCAGCCAGTTTGGCCTCCCTATATTGCTTCATTGCGGCTCTGTTGTGGCGCCCAACGCGCTTCAGAGCCAATTTCCTCGCAATGTCCCGCCATCTGTAAAAGAAGCGGACTCTCAGGCTGTATATCCTGAACTTTCGAGCTTTTGCCCAGGACCTGTTCTCTTCTTCTTTTCGTTTGCGCTCTTCTTCTTCCTGTTGATGCTGGTCAAAGACGGCACGAACTAGGTGCGTGACGAGAGCCTCTTGGAATTCTTCCATCAACCCATTGTCTCCAAGCACCACCCATCTGGCGAAGTCGCCCATCAGGTCCTTGGGCGGCGCAGGTTTTGGCGGTGGCGGAGGATTCGTCTGGGCCGGCTGTGGTTTGACCATCTCCGAAGGCTTCGTGAATAACGATGGAACCTGTGGTTGCGAGGCTTCCGAAGATTGTTGTGTGGACGTCGAATCCGGGCCTGCAATGAAGGGAGGGTTGGTTGACGGCGCAGAATTTTGATCGTTAAATGGTGCAGGTGGTGCGTCCGAGGGCTTTGTCGGATATGATTCAAAAATCGGAGCCTGTGCGTTGGCTTCTGCGGCCTGGTCTGGAGTCGAGAACAAGTGTGAAGAAATGCCCGATGCTGTGGTGGTCGAGGTAGCAGTGTCGGGAATAAAAGATGCTTTGCTTGTTTCTGCTGGCTTATTCAAGAAGTCGAACACGGAGCCTGAGCCGACATCAGGGGGTGGGGTGCTAGCCGTTGTGTCGGCCGGGGTAGTCGACCAGGAGAACTTGGGCATTTCTATCGGCGGCTTTGCGGCGGACTCGGACGATGGAGGATTACCGAATATACTGTCGGCGGGCGGCTTGGATTGCCAAGGAAAAGTTGGAGGTTGTGCATTTGAGGCGGAATTGTCTGTTGGAGGGGTGCTGCTCGTGTTGGATGCCTGGAAAAACGGGTTGCTGGACACTCCGGAGAATGGGTTTTTGGGCGTCGAGTCCAAAACTGACTTGTTCGTATCTGAAGTGGCAAAGCCGTTGGTCGTCGGCGGCCTTTGGAACGGCGAAAGCGTCTTGAGAGGGGGCTGTGGAGATGATGAGGGCGTTTCATCGTCGGAGAAGTTGACCTCAACATGGGTCGCTCTTGGGTCGCCACTTGCACCAAATCCTGGAGATCCTGATGGTTGCGTGACGAACATGCTGTCGGGGCTGTAAGTTGCCTCGGCGGCTGCAGAGGCGTCCTCGAAGACGGTCGAATGGATAACTTCTGGCAGCGGCCGGCCGCCACGCTTGCGCTCCACCATTACCCCTGAGAACGACTGCCGAATGGTTTTCCCGGGAATGCTCCTCCTGCGCTCCACCACGAGGTAGGGCTCATCTGCACCATCGGATGAGAAATCCATTTCCAGCTCCTCCAAGAACGCGATGCATTGCTCCTCGGTGTCAAATCGAAGTATGCTGTTGAGTACCTTCGCCGTGAGATCCTTAGGACCATCTCTCACTCTCCCATATGACTTGTGTATGGACTTCAACAATTGGCGACGAATTTGGGTGAAGTGGATCTCCGCAAAACAGGCCATGGTGTATGATACCTTGCGGTCTTCGACAATGGAGAAATAGGTAGTGAAAGACGCCGAGCCCGTCGTGAGAGCAACTTGAGGCCTGAGTGGGCCACGTCCATTCCATACGTTCTGCATTGCCTCAATCAGCGTGACGGCAGTTTGGACCTCAGATGAGTTGAACCAGAACTTGTCGTCCCAATCTTGCATCTGCTGCATCACAAATGGGTCGTGAGCGTTGAAGAGGAGATAGTAGGCTCGAAACTCAGCCTCGCTCTCCATGTGGACGCCTTCCATGTCCTTGCACTCGTCGTAGACCTGCATCAGCGAGAGCAACGTCTTACCAAGCTGCTCACGCTCTTGCTGTTCGGAGAAGTCTTCGGCCGCAAAGTTCTCTTGTGACAACAGATGAAGTGCCACAGCGTGGAACCTGGCAATGTTTTCCAGGCAATAGATCTGGTCCGTCCGTTCCTCAGCCGACATTGCGTTTTGAAAAATGAAGTCTTTCCTTATCGCCCTGGTCCGATCCCAAAGAAAGTTGTGCTGAGAAGGGAGGTTCTCATCAGACCTCAAAAAATCGTCAATGAGGTAGTCGACAGTTCGTCTCAACGCGGCTGGCGATCGGACTTCAGTTGGCAAGGGCGAGTCGGTTCCAGCTGCTGAACGCTTGAATGACTTGATCATTCGATCGGGATCCGGCCACATTTCCAGGCCATCTGGACTCGTGGTTTTCTCTGCCAACTTTACATCGTATTCGACTATTCGTGAGACCTTCTCGCCTTCGGGACACATATCCTGACAAATGCCCCTGAAATCGATGGCATCGCTTAGCTTTTTCCGCACGTCCGGATCATCGATTAGTCCAGCCTTTATTAACGATGTTCGGACACGTGCTTGATACTTCTTGTACTTCTCACTGTGGTCTTCCATCGCTTGCCTGCTGGCTGGGTTCCCTGGTTGCCGAGGCCATGCTGGCGGGTGGAGGTTGTCTTTGCGCAGTTGGTCGCGGATCTCCTTCTCGTAGACGGACGGTGATTTCTGGACGCCGTTGACGTCGAAACTATGGGCGCGTGCCGTCTTGGGGCCGAGGCCGCTTACCTCCCTCTCTTTCAAGTAGTCGGAAAATCCGTTGCGGTTCTTTCTGGTGTCTTTAACGCCGAAACCAATGGGATTGTTGCTGGAAGGACCTGATGTGAAGGCTGTCTGTGGCTTCTGGAAGGAGGTTGTCATCGAGTCAAAAGCGAGCCGCTTCATTGCACCTGCGTCCCCGAACCCGTTTTTTCTCTTCTGGCTGTTTGCTGCAGCGCCGGCGAAGGTGGCTGCCGCGTTGTTCGAGCTTTCAGCAGGGTTCGCAAAGAAATTGGATGAGCCATTCGTGATGCTAGAAGGGGCGCCAAAGCTGTTGGCCGAGGTGGCTGCGGCAAAGGGGTTCGATGCTGTCCCAAAGCCCGGGGCTGTCGTCGTCGCAGGCGCAGCGCCTGAGAAGGGATTCGAGGAGGCGCCTGTCGTCGCCTGTGCCGTGAAGGGATTTGACGCCGTGTTGGCCGACGCGAACGGATTGCTCGTTGCTGGCGAGGGCGCGCCGAAGGCAGGTGTTTGTTGTTGCTGGCCGAATGTCGAGGAGGAATTGAACGGAGCTCCAAATGGCGAGACTGATCGGTTGGTCGCGTCGGTCGAAAGCGCCTGCGCTCCGAATGCAGGCGCTTGACCGAAGCCCGCCATTTCTGGTTGAGTCTGAACGCCAGCTCCAGTTTGTTGGCGACGTTTGTTGCGACGCGGAGGGTGAGGGGTCGGGGTGCGAGATGGAGGGTGAGGGAGCGAGACGTTGTTGGAGTTGACATCGCGGCCCCTGCTGCTGCTGGTAACTGGTGTGCTGAGCTCGCCGGCCGGTGGTTCCCTTTTTGGCTTAGCGCGTCTCTTGCTGCGGACCATTCCCAGGATCTCGTTCAGCGAACCATGGAGTGGATCTCTATTGTCCTCCATAGTGCTCTCTCCCTGCAAGCTGGGAAGCACAGTCATGCTCGAACGCAAGATCGGCTGATGAATACACTCATGTGATTGAAGGCAGAGTTCAACCGCCAACCGCGTGCCCTGGGCGGAGTTTGTCATTGCAGCCGGAAACAGTCAGTTACCTTGTCTCACTGTCTATCCCGCAATTAGCTTTCTTGGGATTAATTCCACATTTCTGCGGGATTGCTCAAGTATAGCGGAAATAAAAACAAAGACGCTTTCTTCTGAATTCCCAAAATAACCCCCCTCTAAGGAGATTGGTTGTCTTACCAGCAATTTGTTCCAACTGCAGTTGTGAACACGCTCAGTGGAGTTCCAATTGCATGAGCTCTGTTGAATTGTCTTGTAGTCTTAGTCTTGGTGGACAAGCTGGGTGATTGTTTTCAAATGCTCTTGCGATGCAGAGGAGCAGGGTTGTAAAATTAGTTTTGAGTTTTAGTTAAACTAAATGTAGTTTTTAGTTTTAGTTTTGAGTTAGTACTTTTTTAAAAACTCAATGTAGTTTTTAGTTTTTAGTTAAGCCTATTAACTAAAACTAAAAAACTACAAACTAAATTAAGTTTAACTAAAAAACTAAAAAACTAAAAAACTAAAAAATTAAATTAATTAAATTAAAAAGAATTAAAAGAATTAAAAGAATTAAAAGAATTAAAAGAATTAAAAGAATTAAAAGAATTAAAAGAATTAAAAGAATTAAAAGAATTAAAAGAATTAAAAGAATTAAAAGAATTAAAAGAATTAAAAGAATTAAAAGAATTAAAAGAATTAAAAGAATTAAAAGAATTAAAAGAATTAAAAGAATTAAAAGAATTAAAAGAATTAAAAGAATTAAAAGAATTAAAAGAATTAAAAGAATTAAAAGAATTAAAAGAATTAAAAGAATTAAAATCTATTTTAAGGGTGATTCAAACCCCTAGCTATTAATACATGATATAGCATATAATTACAAGCAAGGAATTTACATTATATTTATATATTAATAAATTGATAAGCATTATTATAATTATCACGGGCAATTATTACAAATTTTATTAACGCTATATACAACTATACTATATATACTATGAAATTACGAAATATATATAATTTGGCTTCCTTATAAGTACATATAATATATATATATTATATATAATATGTGTACCCTATACCCCCCCCTTCCCCCTACCCTTAGCGTAACCACCTAAATATAACCTTTAATATCTTAATGGTTTATAAAGCTATAAATAGAAATAAAATATTTTTTAAAAGCTTATATTTTAATCTTTATATATAAAAAACTTTCAAAATATATTTACTTTTTAAAAAAATAGATATTTAACTTTAATTAAGTTTTACCTTAAATGAAAACTTAAAATACTTTTTAATAAAATTATATAATAATATTAGATTTTTTTTAAATACGAATATTATTTTTTTATATATATTTAAAAATTTTCATAAATAATAAATAAATTTATTTAAATAGATTTATTAAAACTTATATATCCTTATAAATACTTTAACTTTAAAAGTAGCTATAAGGCTTATTAAGGCTTATTTGCCCCTATAAATACTATAACTTAAAAAGTAGCTGTAGGGCTTATTCCAGCTTAAAAGAAGTTCGGGGTAATATATATATTGTTAGCGGATGCAGGGAATTACGTGAGAAATGGTATTGCGCTAAATTTTGGCTGGCTATAAAAAGCTAGCTTTTACGCTTATTTTAAACATTCTTTTAAGAAATTAATTTTTTTCTTTTCTTATATATTTAATGCTTTAATTAAGCTTTTCTTATTTTTAAGAATTTTTAAAATATTTATCTTTTTTTTTTAATTTCTTTTTATTCCTATCTTCCCTTTTTATTGCATTAAAGCTTTTCTTTAAGTTATCTTTAAGAAGGTTTAGCAAAACTTATCCCCTATTATTTAAGTAACTTGTTTTTGTTAATAATTTAGCTTAGGCATGATTTTAATTTTATATATCTTTAATTAATAATAAGAAGAATAAAAAGTTAGCTATAAATTAATTATTTATTAATTTTATTTCTTTTCTTATTTTTATATTAAACATTACCAAATTATTTTATATATTAGCTTAAAGCTTTAATTAAAGCTTATATTTATCTTTAATTTATTATAAAAAAGAATTAAGTATAATTAAACTTATAATAATATTATAAATACCTTAAAATTATTTTTTAGTTTTAAAATATCTTTTATGCTTTTAATATTTAAATAAAATACTATCTTAGTTTTATATTAATACATTATTAAGCTTTAAACTTATTTTAAGTTTTTTATTAAAAATTATACTTAAAATATAATAGTAATATAAACTTAAGATTAAAATAATAAATTTAAACTTTATAAATATTACTTAATATTAATTAAAAATGCTTTAAACTCTTAGTTAATATTTATTATTATTATTATAATTTTAAGTTTAAAATAAAAAGGGCTATAATATAAAATTAAAATGCCTACCTTGCTTACTTATAAGTTTAATAAATAGCATTATATTATATATTCTTATATTAATTAAATTATATAAAAAATTTAAACTTAAAGCATAACCTTGCTTAGGCTTTAATTAAATTTGGATTTAATTTGCTAAGGGTTTAATATAATATTAATAAGTAAAGTATTAAATATAAATTTAAAGAGCTTTTTTTATTATAGCTTTATAATTCTTATTTTTTAATAAAATATCCTTTTATTAAGTTTATTTTATTTATTATATTTATTAATACCTTTATTTTTTAAACTTTAATTTAAGTATTTTATAATAATATTAAAGATAAATTCCTTAAAACTAATTACTTTAATTAAAGATATTATTGCTTTTAAGTTTCTTTATTCTGCCATTATTTTAATAGAAATTATTATAATATATATATTATACTTTTAAGCTTAAAGTCTTTTTAAACTTATTCTTATTTTAAAAGTACCTTAAAACCCTAAAAACTATTTATCCTTTTTTACTTAAAGTTAAAAAAGGAATCCTAAGAAACTTATTAAGAAAAAAAAAAGATTTAATTCTATTTATTATTAATTAAAGTATTAACTTTGCTTTAATTAAACCCTATAATTTATTGCTAATAATAAATTAAGGATTTAAATTAATATTTTAAAAGTTTTACTTTTTATTAATATAATAATTTTACTATAAGTAGCTTTATTTATAATTTATAATTTAAATACCTTAAAGTTTAATAAAATTAATATTATTAAGATTTTAAATAACCTTAAAATTATTGCTTATTAATTCTTTTACTTAAATAATTAAATTTTAAAATTACTTAAGTAATATTATATTACTTTAAACTTAATAAAAGTAATTAAAAGCATTATTGCTAAATAATTTATTTAAAAAGATTAAAAAGAAAAGCTTTTTACCTTTTATAAATTTAATAATTAAACTTATTATATAAACTTAATTATAATTATTAAAAATATTATTTATAATAACCCTTATAATAACTTAAAAGTATAAAAAGGGAAAATTATAAAATATAATTAAAAACTTAATAATATAAATAATATTTTTCTTATTATAACTTAGCCCTTTTATAAGGCGCTTTTATTATATTTAAAAAAGTAGCTAATAAGGGAAGAAATTACTTATAAATTAATAAGGAATATTCTTTAGCTAAATTTTAAGCATATCTTATTAAAAGTTATTAACTAAAAACTTAAATATTTTAAGCAAAATAAGTATTTATTTATATAAAATAATTTTAATTAAAATTTACTTAATTTAAAAAAGTTAAAATTCCTTTAAAAAAGCTAAAATAATTTTAATTCTTTAAATTACCTTTAAAATAAAAACTTATAAGCTTAATAATCTTTATTTAAATTTAATTATATTAATATTATTAAAAGATATAATTAGGATTTATAAAATATAAATAAACTTATTAAAAGGTTTATAAAGTTAAAACTTAATTTAATTAAGTTTAAAGATAAATTTAAATTATTTTAATAAGATATTAAAGCTTTTTTTAATAATAAATAATAAAGTAATTTTAAAATAATTAAGTTAAGAGCTATAAATTTTATTTAATAGCCTTTAATAAGACTTAATTAAAGTAACTTTAATAATAATAAAGCATAAGCTATAATTTTAATGTTTTTTTTTAAAAAGGATGGATTATTTAAAGTTTGCTATAACTATACTTTTTAAAACTATAATGCATATTAATATAATAAGCTTAAGTAACTTTTTTTAAATAGCTTATTAATAGCTTTTAAGCTAAAGAAATTATTAATATTTTTTAGCTTACTTAAAGATATTTAAGCTAGCCTTTTAAAGTATTTAAATCCTACTTATATTTAATTATATTATAATTAAAGTAGCTATAATTTAGAAAAATATATTTATAATTAATTAAAGTTTTTATTTAAGAAAAGAAGGTTTAATTTATTTTATATAATTAAATATTATAAGCTTATTAAGGCGAATTCTTTATTTAAAGAAAAGGCTTTATTAAAAGTTTTAAAAGTAATTTAAAAGCTTAATAATTAAAAGAAAGTTAGCTTAATCTTAATACTTATAAATCCTATAAATTATATAATTTATATTAAAGAAAAGCTTATAATTATAAGTAATAATAAGCTTCTTTAAATAAATATTACTATAATTAAAAAAAAGCATATAGCTAAGAATATTAAAAATTAAGATAAAGTTATAAGAATTATAAAGGCTAATTATATTTAATTTAAAGACTTTAAAAAGGCAAAAGATAATTAATCTTAAATTATTAATAATAAATTATAATTAAAGAATAAAAAGAAAGTAAGGAAAAGGAAAAACCTATTTATTAATTAAAATTAAATTTAAAAGAAAAACATTAAGTTTTTTATAATGGGAGCAAGCTTAGTAAGTATAATAAACTTAAAATTAAAAAAGCGTATTTAATAATCCTTATTATTTAAGGAAAAAGTAGCTTAAGTAATTTTAATTATAATTATTAAAATAAGTGCTATAAATATCTT